AAAGAAACTACGTAAGGGTGGAAAAAAAAGGAAAAGAGAGAGAGAGAGAGAGAGGTAAAAGAGGAGCAAATGAACAGATCGTTGCAATGTAGACGCGGCAAGACGCTATTGCGACGTTTCTGGCAAGGACATCGACGCAATGCATCTAACATAAACGTCTCGGGTCAAGAAAATTACATGACGATATCAACTATTTCGTTGGCAATATCCTGGCAAAAAAGAGCCAGGGATGGTCTTTTCCTTTCGATGAAGTAACAATCGCGTAAATGTAAGAGAACGATTGTGTTGGCCGATGACGAGCGCCAAATGCCCCACATTCGTTTATTAGGAACAAACAGGCAGATATGAGGAGCCGAACAATAAAGCCGTTCGCGAAGCATCGTTCTATGCAACTCAATACAATTATAAGTACTGTTATGACAGATGTGCATATATAGAAAGATGTTTAAATTTATTAGATCATCAGTACATACTTTGTTGCCATTATTTGTATTTAAGCATCAATACCGATATATATTATGACACTAATATACTGATACTAATATATATAAACTAAAGAAATAAATTTCTATAATAATAAATGTTTCAAAAATGTAATAAAGATAATCTGAATTAAGTTAATGAAATCCCTATCCTTATTGATAGGTAATCAAATAATTTCACTTTTAATTAAAATCTATTTAATTTGAAATCGTCTTTAAATTAACCGAAAAATTTATTCCTTCGTTGGATTTTCGCGAAAAAAATAGCAATTTAAAATTTCTCAAAAAACATATGCTTATGGTTGTATGCTTATGCACGGTTTTTAAGACATACTGTGTATGCATTTATAACAGAGAAAGCTCCGCTTAGATGGTCAAACGATTCTAATTTCGGTATACGGTTAGCACGTGGCTTTATTATAGCAGAGTGGATTTATGCACGTGAGAATCGACGAGATAACGCTGTACACGCGTCAAGGAAGTTATATTTTTAGCAGATACGGGGGCTGCGGCCGTAAGTTATATTCGCACAGTAAAATAAAGATATAATAAACGGCCAATGAATAGGGTTGAGAGGTATACAATGAAATAAAATTAAAAATGCAGATCAAGTACCACGATCAGAGGAAAAACTGTTCTTCGGCGTAGCTTTCTTTAAATCAATCTTGTTCTAAGTAACAACTTTAAAAAGCTAGTAAAACAATTTCAAGAAAGCGTTAGCAAATCGACGAATAACTCTATAATATTTATGTAAATAAGAAGAAGAATCTTTCATTGTATTATTTTTTATAACACCTACTGAGAAATTGCCTGTTTTACGCACGTGCGTAGTATAGCGATATTATAAACGAGACATTTTGTTGTATTGAGTATATTATTGTTGTTGCAAATAGCGTTATGCTGAGAAAATCTCTTGACAGACATCTTAGTACTGGAGAAAGTGCTCATACTTAATATCTTTTTATATTTAAAATAAATTTTAAAGCAATTTTTATAAATATAGATACGTTAACATTACAAATGTAATATTTGCAAGAAAATTATATATTATATAAATTATCATAATTTCAATCATCAAAATTTTTATAATTACACAATGGTAGTAGTTGTCCATATGATTCCCATTCGAGCTTAATTTACAAAAATTTCTTTATTTATATAAAATATAAAGAAAAAGGTTAATGTTACTCACATTGTTGTATCTCAGCCGACGATATCTCGCTGATACTTCACGAATGGTAGAAGAAGGATCAATTCAACACTCCACTAATTTCTACCAATTTTCCAAATGAACACACAAAACACTTGTAATGTTTTAAATACATAACCTCACAATTCACAATAAAAATCGTTGCGTTTACTGATTACCGCACTTTGCTAGTACTACGTTAAAGACAAAAAATACAGTGATACACGAAACATTTCGTACCTGATTGATTTCAAATCAACACAGATTTTTTTGCAAATAAATCTATAACAAAATAACGTTTAATACATCAGAGAGAGAAAGCAGCCATCTTGACGAACGTATTGGTTCGCAGCGCCAACTGCATTTACAAAAGTAAAACTGTATATAAAAACGTAATTACCATTTGAGTTACGTCTCGGTTAATAAGAGAATTTGAGTCTCGTCTCTAATAGGGTTTGAATCTCGAGTTTGAGTAGAATGTTCTTGAGACTCGGTTGTGATTATAGTATTACGAGTAAGTTTGAAGATTCGATTAAAGAGCAAGATTAACATTGATTAAAAAAGCTAATCCCACAGTTAAACACTTCTTTTATCAGATTAATTGATTAACAGATAGATCAAACAGACATTTGTCATAATTTCACGAATACATTATTTCCTTCTTGACATAACACTTGCATATTATTTTACAACAGGTTCTATAAAGACGTTTCATTTTATGGAACATGATAAATACCAACAGGTATATCAATATTTTTATGTAAATTTTGTTTTAATTATAGATACTCTTTTATGCCTTAAATATGATGAACAGAAAACTAAGTAATATGATAGCAGCAGCTAAAACTACGATGCAGTACAACTTTTTATTGGCCTTTTGATAGGAGTCGGCTTTCTTTAATTGTTTATAGCCTTCGTGTACTTGCACTTGCGTTTGTTCGATATTATAATCAATCCGATCTAAAATAGTACCCTGATCCTGTACCATTACTGCAAGATCCTGTGTATAATAAAAATCCAAAATCATACATTGTATTACATTACAAGTAAAACTACAAATATCAAAGCAGATGAGATATAATGTAAATATATATTTACAATTTGTTGTTATACTGTTCATTATGATAATTTCGTATATGAATTACCTTGAAAATGTGTTTTAAGTCTGCTATACTTTGAACTATACTTCCAATTTGTTCTTCTCTTTCTAATGCTAATTTCATTCTATCTTCGGGTTCCTCTAATTGTAATAAAACCGAGTCTTGCCTCTGTTGGTTTTTCTGCCAGTAATCATTGCTTGCTTCATTCGATTCTGTCAACCAAGAATCTGTTGCTACATTATCTAAAAAAGACTGGTCTTCTGCAAAGAACTGGCTATTTCTCTCTTCTCTTGATTTCACCTCTGCAAAAATTTATTACAACTGAATATGTATAAAAGTTATAGAATTGTTAAACTATAGAAAAAACATAATACGTGTTAAGTAATGATTCTGTGCTGATCTATAGCGAAGGCCTAATTCCTGCAAGGCAGCAGAAAGAGCCATTACTGCACTGGCAGCTAATCGACGTTCCGCGAGCTTTGTTTCATGTCTATTAGCTGACTTAATTGTTTGTACTTGTCTATAGCCATTAGAGAATCCACGGCCAATTTCTCGTGTCAATTGTTCCATTTGTCTTTCTTCCTATGTTATAAAGCATATTTCAAATCCTTACGTTATAATTATTATAAGAAATAAATATTTTCTTTGCTTGATACATTTTTCACAAAGCATGCTGATTTTTGTAAATACAGCTAATTATGTCATTTAACAATTGATAGATTACAGTCTCAGGAATTCACAAACCTGAGATGTATCATCCAAGGTAGGTCTGGTGAGCTGCTTGGAATGCAACTCGACCAAGCTATCAATTTTCACTCGTAATCTGCTCAGGATATATTGTGTCTCTTCCAAGGCATCTGCCCAGACAGGCGGTGCACCGCTGTCTGTATTCACACCCTTCAACTCTACGTTATCTGATCCACCAGAATCCGATTCCACCAGTGCTACTCGATCGGTCAGGTTCTAAAAAAGTGGATTAAGCGTCTAATGTGAAAAATCATAGAACAAATGGATAGAAGCGGCATGATATCACACAACAGAACAGGTTAAGTGCACGCACCTGTTCGGCGTAAATATGCCTACTCTGCATAGCATTGTTTCTCATTAAGACAAAAGGCTCAGTCAAGTTTCTTGTGGCCATTTTTCAACAATTATTTCTTCTTCTATCGCAACGTAATTATAAACGCGGTATATCTTATAATCATTCCATCATCGGCCGCATCGTCACGACGCACTGGACCAGCTGTCATCTTGCATCAGCTGATTAGCAGGTCTGCGCCAGTGACGCCAGATTTGAGACGCAAGCAGTAAGCAGCATGAGGGAGGGAATACCGCGTATATATGTATGTATGAACTCTTTTTAAAAAAAGGCATTTTCAAGAGATCCTAAAAACGTCCTAAAGAGACGTTTACACGTACGTAGCTTGCGCATGTGTACGGTATTCTCTCTCTCTCTCTCGTACTGCTTGTTGCTGTGTCTCAAATCTGGCGTCACTGATACAGACCATATAAAATATAAAAAAACCACAGTAAGTGTATTAACAAAATTTTTTAATTTAATTTACAGAACATTTACAATATTTATATACAAGCATATAAATATAAAAACATTTCATTGTTGCATAGTAATACAAAGGAAATAGCTTTACATAAGGTACAAATTTTTTTTCTATGTAGTAAAGAAATGATATAATAAAGGTTTTAAATTCTTGTTCACTAATAAATGCTTAATGATCGTTTTTCTGATGATATCTTCTTAACCTTAAATTTGTTTTCTGATATTTAAAAAAGTACATGAATGTACCCAGACAGCACAGCATATCCAAGAGACGTCCAGATATCTCGAAGACATTTTTGAGATGACAGAACATCCTCTGAGTATCCTTTGGATTTATTGTGGACATGTATGCTGTCTGGATATATATTCAAGATATAATAATAAATTAAAAATTTATTCAAGATATATATAACAATAAATTAAAAATTCATCGAATAATTCTAATTTCAAAGTTTGAAATTATGAGATATGTGAAAATGAAATTTACTGATGTATATCAATATCTCAGCTTAAGCACTATAATGATTTCGCTGTGTGTTGTGTAATTTGCTTTTAGTTTCAATCACTAATGGCCGAGTACTGTAGAGGCTACCTAAAGTGACTTGTCTTTTGATCATTGCTAGTGCTTCCTCTCCTTTTGCAAAATATTGTCTAATTTTTTCTTCGTCTTTCAATGTTTTATTTTCCTTGAATTCATGTCGTATTTTACGTAAAGCATACATTCTGAAAAAAGTACAAAATAATTTATTCTTGTGCATGCACCATATAATGCAATCACACAAATATACAATAAAAACGAGTATAATAATATGTTATAATTAATTTATACATATAAGAATTACAATTAAAAAATAAGATTATTCTCTACATTGTCTATCATAGTTCTATCATCACTGTCGTAAAAACATGTAAATGTGTTACCTATAATTGTATGAGCTCCATTTCTTACTTTCTTGAATTAGATTCCGATAAAGGCTCAGAATTACCTCTCGACTGAGACCCATTATTTTTAAAAGAAGTAAACTACTAATTTAAACAAATCCGGCTAATTCGCTGTAGCACATGGTTAGGTGGTTAGGTTGAGATAAGTCGGAAATCGTTGTCTAGAAAATTTCATTCATAATTATAGTTATGTTGTCGACCTTTTTTAAATGGTCTAGAAAATTTCATCTAGAGTCTCTTTTATGTTGTCGTCAATATGTTAGGATATATCCACATAAACTTGCATATGCTGATGTCCTATACAAGTTTGTCTGGATATATTTTAAGTCTCAGCAAATATCACTTAAATGTTATATGTATTACAAATTATTTTTAAAAATGTCAATATAAACATTGAATTAAATAACATTATTCATTATAATTTTTATGTGTTTTAATATTTTTGTAATCTAATCTGAATATTTTGACAGTTTGTTACATAACCTTCATGTGTTTTATTTCCGAAATATAAAAACAGGAAGAGAATAATTTAATAAAATAAACATACTTGCAAGTCTAGATGTAACTGTGTGTGAGATAACTCTTTGAGTTGGAAGCACTCTAAAAAAATATATATATTTCCGAAATAGCAATTTGGATCTTTGTTTTTAAGATAAATATCTTAAGATAATTTTTCGTTAATATAGCATGTATACATCTAAATAAATAAATAAATAAAACAAATAAGATTAATAAACGCAATTATGTGGTGCGTAATGTTTATAGATCTTTATTTACGTTTTAAAAATTAGAAATAACTTTTATAATCAAAGTATATTTATGTTACAGGTATAACCGGTATAACAGATGTATTTATCTTTGTAAAAAACCGTTGAAAACATGTAGAACATCTTCTACTGTTGCCAATGTTAATAAGAATGTCAATGAATTGATACTTCTTGGTCAAAAATATGTAACAGATGATTGGACAAATGTTACTCCAAACGTTATCGCTAAATTAGGAAAAAATCTGCATACTAAACAATATCATCCACTCTCACATATACGTCAACGCATCGTAAATTATTTTTATGGACAGTTTCGCAATAAAAGTGGAACTCCATCATTTGGTATTTTTGACAATATATGTCCCATAGTTACAGTGGCTCAAAATTTTGATTCCCTTCTTGTGCCGAAAGATCATCCAAGTAGAAAGAAAACAGATTGTTACTTTGTAAATCGAGATACATTATTGCGGGCGCACACAACAGCACATCAAGCAGAATTAATCTCCATGGGATTGAATAACTTTCTTGTTATTGGGGATGTATATCGACGAGATGAAGTTGACAGTACACATTATCCAATTTTTCATCAAGCTGATGCAGTCAGATTACGTACATCGCAAGAAGTATTTTATAGTGTAAACGATTCTGAAAATCTAAAACTATTTGAGCATAGAGGAATAGAAACTTCTGAAAAACAGGGTTGTCATACCTTAGAAGCTGTAAAGATAATGGAACAAGAATTAAAAAATACTTTAATTGGCCTAGCGAAAGCTATCTTTGGGAAAGGTACCATACTATATTTTATTGACTCTATTAATTTGACTTGATATTGATTTAAAAATATTTTATGATGATAGATGTGCAATGCAGATGGGTTGATGAATATTTTCCGTTTACCCATCCGTCTTATGAATTGGAAGTATTGTATAATGACAAATGGCTTGAAATATTGGGTTGTGGCATCATGCGTCAAGAAATTCTACAAAAATCTGGTGCTGTGGATCGAATTGGATGGGCATTCGGTCTTGGCTTAGAACGTTTGGCTATGTGCTTGTATGATATACCAGACATAAGATTATTTTGGAGTAACGACGTAGGTTTCCTAAATCAATTTAAAGTAGACAATCCTTATGCACATATACAATATAAGGTGAGATACTTAATATTAATCACATTTATATGTGATTAGTGAAAAATAACTTATGTGAGTAAACATCTTTTTTTAGCCCATCAGTATATATCCTCCCTGCACAAATGACATAAGTTTCTGGTTACCAGAAGATGGAAGTTACTCTCCCAATAATTTCTACGACATAGTCAGAGAAATAGGTGGCGATTTTATTGAACAAATTTTACTGAAAGATAAATTCATTCATCCAAAGACTAAAAAAACATCTCATTGCTACAGCATAGTGTATAGACACATGGAGCGTACTTTGACACAGAACGAAGTCAATGAACTTCATAGTCAAGTAGAAAAGGCCATAACTACTAAACTTAATGTAACTATTAGATAAAGTTAACAATAAAATACTGTCTTAAAAAAACTGGAATTTTTATTTAAACCAATTTGTTTTTTTTTTATCTGCCAGAATATCAATTTTAAACTATTATTAATTTCAATAAATTATGGACAAAAATATAATATGAACAATAGAAATATCAGAAGTCAGGAAAAGGAATATATTATTTTATTTACGAATAAATTAATCATAAACGTATTACATAGCAAACAATGGTTCTCTAGAAACAGCTATATTATTTATGATACGCTTCATCCACATTAGAGATAACAACGATTACAGTTATGTCCTACATGCTTGCAGTATATACATGAATATAAAACATACTACGTAATCCAATATTATTATTTATGCATACTATACGACTGGGAATACAAATGTTAACGAAAATATGTCCTGCATGGATAAAGATAATTTTTAAAGAATAAGATATATAAAAAAAATAATTGTCTTGTATAGTTTCAAAATAAAGCACGTTATAAAATAACGTTAGTACAAAAAATGCTGTTTAGACTTAGTTAGCATAAATCACAGTTTTATTTCTGACACTCAAATTTGTATTCTTTAATTGTATTAGTTCTATAACAATTTTTAAGTGAAGTGCATTTCGCATTATATAAATGAAGATTGCTTGCGTAAATTTACGCGTATATTGGAAAATTTATTTGATACGTGAAAAATACTGAATAGTGCTCTCAATTAAAATATGTCTAATTGGTATTTTAAGAACAATAAAAAGATCAGACTATATAAATGCCGCAGTATGTGCATATAAACGCACTGAAATGGAAGATGCGATTTTGGCATTGCATTAATAAATAAATATGTAAACAAAAAAACGTAAGAAAAATCAGATACAAAAAGGTCCAAATCCAGGATGCGTACTAGATAAGCTTGCAGGAAGAATTAATGTTATGCGTAATATCGTGAAGTTATTGATTTTACTTGTAACAAATTTAATCCAATCCACGTTTCAATAAAATTAGTCACTGTGTAATGTGAAACAAGCAATTTTGAAAACTTTACCGGCTCGTATTTTGCTGTGTAGACATTTTCTATTACATTAGTCGTTGTTATGACTAATGTTACAAAAATTGTTCGATTATTACAAAAATAGTTGGTTGATATAAAATGGTGCATATGACTTTTCTTATTTCACTAAAATTTAACTAAGCGATATTAATTGGATTGGATTTATAGGTATTTGAACGAAAAATTTTTATATACTTGTTTCTGTCTGTTAAATATTGATGTTTTATCCTCCTTTGTCATCCATATATGGAAAGAAACTTTCTCGTGGGATTTAGGATAATTTAGTATAACTAGGAGGCGAAAACTTCTTCCTCAAAAACTTCAAGATGTACAGCGGCATGCATGAGACTAATGTTATCACCAACACTTTCCATAAGAAGTCTGTTGTCTTAATAAATTCAGCATCTATATTAGTATAAAAGAAAAAATATACATTAATAATGCATTTATATTTATAAATTATGTGAGAGAATATGGGAGCTGAATTTTTATTTAACTATATTTGTTAATAAATATCATATCACTTACCGAAGTAATCCTTAAGAACGACCAACGATAATAAATAAAGCGCTAGAGAGAAGATTTCTGCCAGTATCATTATATGATGCCAAGTTCTAATCGTTAAAGCAACCATTATCAATTCTGTCAAAACTAATGCCGAAAAACTGATGGCCACTATATGAATGAATTCGTCTTCGAACATTATAAGTGCACCATACATGATTACTCCTCCTAAAGTAAAAAAATAAAAAAGAAATATGTATTTCTATTCTTTTGTACATTGCACATTATAAAAAATACATTATTTAGGTTTAATCAAAACTACATACCTTGATATATACTTATTAAAACCCACATAAAAAATGTTTTATACGACAGCGAACGGCCCTTACTAAGCTCTTTATAAAGCTCTGGATAGGTAAGCGCAATTTTTCCCGACACATCTTTGTCCAATACCAAGGAAAAGACGGGAAACATTGTATATATTGTAGCATATCTAAAAAAAAGTTTTATATGTAATGAGAGTTTTGATGTATTAAAATATAAAAATTACAAAATCATTATCAAAATTGATGTAGAAAGTGTATTACTTACCCTACCATAAGAAAACCTTGATATAAGGCAACCGAAGACAAATAAAAGACTGCGGAGAATACAGCTTGCATAGTGGAAATTATCAGACCGCGGTGTATAACAAACTGACTCAATGCAGCCGAGCGTTTATAGCTTCTTCTGCCGTGGACTAATAATAAATTAGCGAGATGACTAAACTGAGAGATTGAAAAATCTGCAGCTAGCGATGCCTGTCTTCCCTCAAGACCCTCAAGACCAATACCTGCGGATAAACATATGCGGTAATAATATCCGAATAGTGTTAGATTACGTAAAAGATTTAAATACATACCAGCGTCTGCAGCTTGTATCATGGAGACATCATTACCACCATCGCCGACAGCTGCTGTTCTCTTGCCGGTGTGTCTCTGTATAAGACTGACAACTTCGGCTTTCTGCGTGGGAGAACATCGGCAGCAAACGACAGCGGGTGAACCGCAAGCAAGTTCCAGAAATTCCTGTTCATAATATTGCAAGCACACCTCCAGAGAATCGCCGCTGATAACTAAGGCACAATCTTGCTTCTTGCGAAACGTGTTCAGTTCCAAGTGGGCGTCAGTGCGCGTCACGACAGATTTGAAGACGTGCAGTCCTTGTGTGCGTGAAACCAAGCGCGAGGATTTCGCTATACATGTCGCAGTTTCCAGTTTATCGCCAGTTAACATCCATATCTTTATTCCAGCGTTCCTCAATTGTTCCAGCGTGGGTCTCACCCTGTCTTGCAGCCTGTCTTCGACTCCGGTCACGCACAACAGTTCCATTTCTCTCTCGAGACTTTCCACCACCGCGGTAACTCTCGAGACACGATCGCTGACGCTCATCCTCGCCGCATTGTACCTGTATGATGCCAATAGTTTAGTTATTTGTTTCAAATTCTTAATGAAAATTATAATAATGCTTCTAGTAATATTACCTTGCTTCGAAATCAAGATACTGGTCTTCAGTCAGATTTTTCTTTGCCACAACCAGTGTTCTGAGACCTTCACGCGCCATATTTTCACACACCTCATCCAGCCAATCGTTATATTGTACAATACCAGACATCACAACATCGGCACCTTTTAAGTAAAATACAATCTCAGAGCTGGACTCCTCCCTCACGATTATACCCATTCGCTTGGTTTCCGACGTGAAAGGGAATATTTGCAGTATAGTATAATTCAATATTTGACCGTTCAGAGCCTTCAACTGCATCGAATTAAGATCCCGTTTGACGAGAGCCAATCCTATTTCTTCCGTCCACTTCACCAGAGCCACTTCGTCTGGACTTGAAGCTTGATAATTACGCTTCTGCTCCGGCAAATAATAATGTTGATCCGCTTCCGTTTGACTGAAACATTAAAATTTCTGTTAATCAAGGATATTGCAACTTTCGCGTTCAATCAATAAAATATAAAACTGAGCTGACCTCTGAATGGAACCTGTGTCTCCGGTTTCTACCGTTTGCACACTCATCGAGTCCAGATTCGAGGATTTGTTATTTACCTCGTCGTACACTGGAGTTACATTGTGGCACAGCGCTAAAGCGTGCACGGCGTCGTAAATCCGGGTGTTCTCGGATCTTCGAACTTTTCCACTGTGCGTCGATGGCGCCGGTTTCACCGGGGAATTTTCTGTGTCAGTCGGATAATAAGTCTTTAATACCGACGTCACTTCGTCGAACGTTTCCTGGCCATAAGATATAGTGCCCAGATGCAACTTCTTGAATACCATTATATTTTGTGTTAATGTGCCGGTCTTATCGCTCAGCAAATATGATATACGTCCGAGTTCTTCCGGAATAGTAGTTGTCCTTACAACCGTACCGGCGATATCTTTATCTCTTTGTATGCACCATGCGTAAAACGCCTTGCCCATATCCAGATTTACTCTCAAACTGATCGGTATGATATAGGAAAATAGCAAAACAAAACGGAACATGTAACGATACCAAGGTCCGTTGAATCCTTTCAGACACATCATTACAAGGGCGAGTCCTATTACTGCACAAAATAGTACCTACCGAAATATAGCTAAGATGTATTGATATTCGTACATGTATAATTTTTTTTATACATAATTGTTACATTTCACATACATACCTTTGTCAATTGATTGATCTCTTGATCCAGCAAACCAACTTTTGATCTGATTTCCGAATGATTCATTAAAGATCGTGTTTCCTGGCCGGTATAAACAACAACACCAAGAGCAGAACCCGACGCCACAGCTGTATTCGCCCATAATGTATTGTCCACACCCAAGCTTTCTTCGCTGCTATATCCATCGTACTGGAAACAAAATCAAATTAAATTATTAAAAAAATTGAAAGATAATAGGATGTAAGAAAATTAAATGTCTTACCCTTGAAAAAGTGCCAATAAAGCTATGTATGTCTTTTTGAGGTTTTTCAACATATAAACTAGCTTTAATATCAAATAATTGTGAATTGCTTTCCAATTTTTGCGTTGCAGGCACTGCTAATCGTAATTTCCAATCTGTTTCTCCATCCAATTGATCAGTCCGCACAAAACACGCACCAGATTTTTCAGTTGTGCGTAATAATACTAAATCAGCTGGTACTCTTTGACCCTTCTCTACTATTACCTTATGGAAAAAGTCATTGTTTATGTACAAAAATTGTTATATAAAAAAATATGTTAAAATAAGAGTAATGTCTGAACATAACGCAACTTACCAAGTCACCAACTCGTAATTTGGAACTTGGTACTAATTCTGGTGTATCAAAACCCTTCACTAATCTATAATATTTTTGTGCATTGACTTCCTTGTCTCTCTTGTATCTTCTAAAATCATCAATACCTTCACGGAAAATTGTTACAGTTAAAACAAAGCACAATGGTCCCCAATATGTGTATAAATACCCTATCCTTATGTCTGGTATAAATTGAGATATAGCCATAAGCAGAAAGTATAAATTCAAGAAGAATTTAAACTGCTGAAAGAGGACCTATAAAGCAATAATAAATATCGTTAATCACATTGCAATCCAAAGAGATATTAAGATTTCCCTTTATCGAGAAAAACATACCAAAGGCAAAAAAGTAACAACATTGTATTTTTGATTTCTTATAACATTAGTGGGAAACTTTTCATGCATGGGTTGTCCAATGTGGATCACCCTGGCTCTTAACTCCCGTTCTCTGCAACATCTTCTCCACATCCAAGTACAACATCTGCAACCATAATAAAACAATTTTAATTTAACAAAACCAAAAATTTAACTATTATACAAAATCGATAAATTAAAAAATTGGTTTTTTCTTTGAATAAAATATTTGATAAAAAAGTATTTTCGATTACAATTTCAATCCATTAATATTTACAATGCAATGTAATCTAATAATTAAATAGATAACAATCAATTTTAATCGTTTAAGCTTGATGGACGTAAACAAATGTACAAGTATGTCACCCAACGCATTGATCGAACGGAGCTGCATTCGCGCATCGACCTGATGAGAAATTTGCTATCGCGGATAGAGAATTCGTGCCAATAATTTTGCACTATGAAAGACGAGTGAATCAACGTATCGAGATTAAAGAATTGAAGCCTCATCAATCGAGATAAGATGTACGTCACCTTGACCAAGAACTGTCATTTCGTGGCTTGGATATTAGCGGAATGTCTTCCTTGGACATCCTTATAACATTGCTCTGCGTCTCCATTTAGATTATTTATTCATTAATCGGCGAATAAAAGATTGCACTCGCGCGATTTCGTACGCGTTTCGTCACGTCGCGAAAATATTATCCGATAAGATGCATTAATTTATTACTCAGAATCAACAATACTATGACATCACTCACGATCGTGGAGCGCGGAGTGCACGATTGTAAGAGACGTTTATTGCGAGGAACAACGTCCGCCTGGGATGGACATGGACCGAATCTGTTTATTGGCTACACGCAGTCGATACAACAGTGCTAAGCCAATAATATGATACGTACGGAACAGTCTGTGCGCAAAACATCAGATTAAAAACCCTAGAAAAAATACCCTACTTCTCTCCTACGTCAAACTATTCTTTGGTGCGTAATCACATTTAAAAAATGTTGACAAAAAAGTCGGTCTTTTTAAACATCTTCGTGGAAATTTCTCAGAAACAAGAAATAAAATTGATTCTGAGGAAATCTGATAATATCAAATATTTTATTTAATATTGATGTTAATAATTATATTGTTAGAGTGTGATATATATTTTTCAAGCTACAAATGTTTAGAAGAAAGATTATTACATTTCTTGTGGATATAAAAACAGTATTATCTTCATTAAAGTCACATTAAGAGATTAATTTCTGATATAAATTGCAAAAAAAAACATACATTTTTTTAACCTAATGCTATCAATACATAAAGCAGTTGAAATGTTAATAAATATAAGCAACATTCATATTAGCAATGTGCACTGAAAGAATCAAGTTTTTTCGGAAACCATACGTGTAGAAAACGTTATAATAAAGTAATACTGCAATGTGGGGGGTCAAGCAGGCTCGAGTATTATTTCGAGCGTGCGTAACGCATGACTTTCGATTAAGCATCTTACAAAATTAAAATCTGCTATTTCATAGATTTACTTCATAGAATATAGCGAGCAAACGACAATCAAGTGCATTACTCATATTCTTGAATCATTAGCTAGAGACGGCGATAGTAACCACTGCTCCTTTTTTTTTTTATATCCACGAGACACGAGTTAGACGTTAGAAACAGATGATAAGTTGCATAATTGATAAAAACAATAGCAGAACCAAATACCGCATATCAATTTTATACTTTTTTTTTTTAAATGCTAAGTGAGTCAATAAGACCATCATTTGCAAACTAACAATATGTCGAAATTATTAACTAATCAACAAAGTTTGTGTGGTTTTGCTGATAATAAACTTCAAGGAAAATCGCACATACTGTTGGCTACTTGATATTTTTTATATCACTCATTTCCTTACGCAATACTAATGGTTTTTAAACTAATTTAATCCAATTTTTAATGTTAATAAGTTGATTTTTGTTTAAAATTAAATGTCAAATAATATTCCATTAGTGCATCAAAATACATTAAACGACATACATATACAACTAATGCAAATAATTTTTTTAAATTATCTAAAATTAGAAGAAAATAGTTGGAAATTTATACATAGTGGACAATTTTCAGAATTTTTAAATCTATAACATAAGAGAATGATAAGATCTATTTTTCATAGTTATAACTTGGACGAAATGTATATTGAATTGTGGTCACATGTTTCAAAACATTCTCTGTAAACAAACCGCGACTTACCCGCAGAGGCAGTTTTTCAGGTACTTGGAGCAATCGCTGATGTGCCGTCGTCTCGATGTCAGTTGTTTGATGCTGTCCTCGGACGGCTGCAGCAGATAGTCAGTCTCATCGTCGTCCATTTCAAAGTCCCGCTCTTCGGAGCTCAGCCGCAACGGCATCTCCTCCAGCCTCATCGCTGTACCCAGCGCACGGCGCGTCCTTTCGTTCCCCGTTTTGTTTTTCTTTTATATATATAAGTTACACTACTAGCTACCCCTGTCAATGATCGCTGATAGCTCTTATCCCCGCGATGGCGAAAGGGCGAGACGCGCGGTTAACTGATGATGCGGATTAATCGTCGTCTCGCACGTTGCAACGTCGCGCGACCGCTCGCCGCGGCACGACGTCCACGGCGCATATCTTATCTCAGGCGATTTCAGGCCGACCGATGTTGATAATCCAAGTGATTTCAAGATCCACCGTCGTCCACTGTAGCTGCTGATCCTGACTGACGCGAACCTGTGATCACGCGCAACGACAATGGCAAGACGTTGGTCTGCTTGTTTACCACATGTGTACATACACACACAAACCGCCGGGTCGTATGTGCATCATGGCGGTTCCAAGAGGTACGAGGAAAAGCGTGGAAGATCATAGATGCTAATCATAGCCGAGACGTTTAATGTATTCCTTCATATGTAAGCGGTATAAATAGAGCAGTGTGTACTTTATTTTTAACATATTAATGTGAGAATCACTCCGTTCTTTTTGTACGCGGCGATACACTGCGCGTCACCATGCTCACCCAGCTGATGCATCGCTGCGCCGTCTGCTAGAATTGACGTCGGCTTTTTAGCGCGCAGATTCAAATAAATTTCGAGATTCCATAGCTACGTTAGATATGTATAACATCTGTGACTAATCTTTAGTTAATTTCAGTGAACTATCTAAAAGTGAATTATCTAAAAACAGTCTTCAATTACTTATTGTTTTATCCATTTTTTATTTTATATTGTATAGATTATTTTAGTTGTACGAGGAATATGCATTATATCATGTTACTTAAATTTATTTGATATTTTGCAGTTAATGATTCGATTGCACTTTTTAACCATTTATCCTGGGACCTTCCTTTGAGTTGCAATTGCTGGAAAAGTTGCTGGCATGTAGATCGTTCTTCTTTTGTCATGAAACACATCATTAGATTGAATCTGTTACATGTGCTCAGTATATTGAGAAGTTCTATAATTGATGTTATATCGTCTATGTTTGACAAATATTGTAGACAAACATTAATAACATCACTGAAGAAAGATGCAGGTATTTCTATCCGAAAAATGTGAGTCTGTAAAATGTTCCTATAATGATAGCACATTGTTAATATAAATAACATAATATACATATTCCATCATCTTTACCTTAGATTCCATATATAAATAAATTTTTCAGAATAGTCTAAAATTGTTCTCCAACACTGCAAAAACTCTTCGCATGTTTTTGGAGATATTCTTGTAATATTTTTACTGTCCTCTTTATTACAGCTCAATTTTTCCGAAGCTGTATACATGGTTAAATTATGGGGTTTAATAGTGTTAATCGTGGGATTCCACTGCACTCCAACATTAGGTTTCATATCATTGCGATCCAGAGATTTTAAGTGAGCACCATTTACCTGTCATATAACTAGGATTTCATTAAAAATCATGAATGTTCTTAAAAATTACTCAAGAAAAAACTCCTTATATATTAAATCCTTATTCTTATATGACCAATTGATTACCATTTGTCTAAAGTGTTCATACGTCGGCACTCTTTGCTCAACCGCTCGAATTTTAGCACTATTTTGTAATTGATATAATTTATCGGCTGCAAGAGCCTCGTTAAGTTCTTCTTCTAAATATTTATAATTTATTGGAACCTTTAATGCGCTCATTGTCATTTTACATTCTCTTTAGTACATCACAGCACGTTCTTTTGATATGATATAATCACACATAATAACAGGAATGTTTGTTGTCATGGAAACTCTAGTATTGATTAGAAATTAGAAAATTTGTTTCCCCTACTTTACTGCAATTTTTAAAATTATTTATTAACTTGTATTAAATTATATAATCAATATAAACATGAATATAAATAAAAATTAAATAAATTAAAACTTTCTAGAAAAATAAAATACAAAAATATATATCAATTGCAAATAAATAAAAACCTGATTATTTATTTAATTCTTAGTAATAATGATTTCTGTTTCTGCTAGAACTTTCTCCTTTACTATTCTGCTTTGTCTTTTTTTCAGCAATTTATCATGGATTCTTTTCATTTCGAGTATTTCTTTCATTTCCTCCTTATCTTCTTCCTACAATTATCAGTTGTAAAATTTCCATTCATCATTATTATTTATTTCTATATTTTTATATACACTCACAGTTTGATTTAATCGGAGAACCAATGCTCTACGACCGTCGGACATGGGTTGAGAATAATCCATCAACTTTCTTAGTCTTTCAGCAGGACTTACACCTCTCTCTACAACTAGAACTATGCGGGCCCACTAACAAAAGAAAATCAGTATGAATAGAAACGGACCCAAGGCTCGATGCTTTTGTATTTTAACACACTAACTTGTCTTTGCCATTCATTTCTGGTTTCAGCAATTTTCTGGTACGTGTTACCCATCATAGCAATTAGCATATTTACGAGCAAGATTGCCACGATCGCCATATATAACACAAACAGCAGCTGCAATAGTAAATATTATTGCTATGTCTATCATTGAATGCATGTAACGCTCTTTGCAAGTGAATTACACATTATATAAGAAATTTATGTAAATTCTGTTCAATTATTGTTGAAATAAATTCAATAAACGATATGTAATTAACGTCATGAGAAAAATAAATTTGAAATCTATTGGTTCTGTTAATCATAACCGTAAATATTTTGTTTAAAAATTATATTCAGAAAGTACCTTTGCTTCAAATTCGTGCTCAGTTCTGTCAAAAGTGCCAAAATAATCACCAAAATTTGTCATACTCATTAAAAACATCGCCAGAACGCTTTCCACTGGCGATGACATTGGATTTGTCATTGTATCGTCTATTCCTTCCGGAGTATTTGGATTATCAAACGAAAGAAAGATGATATAAAATGCTGAAAAAAATTTAACATCTGTTAAAAAATTGACATATTATTATTGACATAATATTGATATATATATATAAAATATAATATTTTTTTACTATTCAAGATATGTATACGAAATGATATTTAAGAATATAAGATGATTTAAGAATGTAGAGAAACCTCGATATTTAACTAATTGATCGCTGCGAATAATCCATTAATTAAAGATTCTCTGTTAACAGGAAATATTTCTTTATACGAATTTTCAGTCAATTATTAGATGCTTTATTCAAGTCAAGATGACATTGCATCGTAATGTAAAAAAGTAAAACACAATAGCACAGTATACAGTTACTTTGCTGATTGCATAATGACGTGTCGCACTATTTAACATATACCGCAAGCTTCTCTTGCAGCATTTCTCGCTGTTTCACGAGAAACCTTTAGCGATGTGTGTCAATGTCGCATTGCAATGCGTAGCAAAACCGTCGATTAGATCATATGACGTATGTGTATAGATGCCGTTAGTCCCTCGAGTAATTAGTAATTGTTGGAAGTCAATGGAATAAGGCACTGACGGCGTCGGATAAGGAAACCGATGGTCTCCGACGATGACGATGTCTTTTATCCATTATACATACCATTGTATTCCTTTAACTTTGATTATTTATTGTGATAATCAACAAGGTTTATCTATTCTAATTGAAATAGATTTCATTTATCAAGATAAATGGACTGCAACAATTGTCATGTCAAACGTAAAATTAAAAAAAATTAAACAATGTAAAATTTTCCAAAGGTAAAAGCTGAGTATTACCTTGAGAGAACCCCATAACAAAGACAAGATAAATGGAAACGAATCTAAGGAGATCGCCCATTATCATTCTGTAGATCATCACTACGAAAGGACCGACCGTTTTGAAACCTCTGCAGAAGAACAAAAAATACGGCGCAGTTGTTAGCATCACAACGACCGCCAAAATATCTTCGACTTCATCGGCGCAGGTGAGTCTCAAGACCGGAAACGAGAGTAAGATGCAGCAAGAGAACAGAAACATTACACGCGACGGCGCCGTCATCTAAAAATCACATTTGCATTAGTTTCTACTACAAGTAATATTCTTTCTTTTTGTTTAATTATTATGTAAAATGCATTTTTCATAACATACGTTTACCTAACCCTAACCTGACCTAATTTATAATTAAGTGTAGATGTATTTTCTCTCAATTTAAAATATCAACGTACTTTAATAAATTAAATTACAAGAATATTTGCTGCCGGTCTATCAAAGCTTAGAATATGAAATAATTTATAATTAAAATTGATTTTTTAATGCATTTTAAAATTTGCGCCTAAAAATTTATTATTTTATTAGCTAATGTTTCATTTGTGGTATAAGTCTTGGGCATGCTCATTGGCTGTCCCATAGAGATTTTATAAAAGTATCTAACATCTTTTTTCTGATAACCAATCAGCACACTCGAGAAAACGGTAAAAATATTCGTATATATGTCGTATAATGGTAAAAATATTCGCGCCTCTTTTTTATTAGCTTCCGTTAAAGTGCCGTTTTCTCGTAATTGATAACGACTTTTTTTGCTGAATTCATATTATCGGCAGTATTTCGCGAAGATACATGCATAATTGGGTAACTTTTATCAATTATTGTTAATTTGTTTAACTTTCACAGTGAGGAACGCGAAAGTAATTGATTAATCTTATTGATCTTACTAGATTTTCGATAAACATATTAAGGCCCAGAAAGTTTGCCTCCCGTAATGCAGCCATGATGTAGAGTAATGCTGCAATCCACATCAGAATCTCTGTAATTAGACGAATCTTTGCCGTCACTGTTGTCAGCTGCATTAATCTGCATTCTCCGGTAAGATTTTCCCACCTACAATATATAATATATAATATTGATATAAGAAATATTGTAATAAAAAATAGAATACACATATTCGCAAATCTATGAATTTTTCTAGTATCTCTCTCAATTTGATTTCCAAGCTTAAAATTGTTATATTTTATTATTTATTAACAGCAATATTATTAAAATTCATATTTTTCACAATATTTTATTTCAACGCACCAGTTATCATGATTGTTGAATTTTGGCAATGTGATGCTGCTAATGATTGTTTTGGCAGTAGAATTTACATCAATTATAATATTTCTGTTGTATGTATTTGTAAAATAGTTTGATGCATTTTCAGGACTATCTGTATACCATGGTGTATGAATAGCAGTTTCATCTGGAATATTCAGAATGTCCTCATTGTCATTCAAGATTAAAAACAAAATATTTTTCAGAGCTGATGTAATATTTGAAGTCACTTGTAGCTGCATCTTCTCCAGCGATTCTTGCGTTATATTTAAAGATGATATGAAATTTGAAGTAAAAACTGTTGTAAAACTGTTTGTAATTAATTTTGATAGATCTGAGCTTTGGAGTGACTTAAGGATCAAAGTCTCCATCGTTGTTATGTTGGAAGAATTCCTGGTTAACGTATCGTTCCCATTTTCGACTGTTTGCGGAGCAGATAGGCCAGGACGAAAAGTGAAACTAATCAGCGATAGCACGAAATAGAAGCAGAAGAGGAAGAATTGACGGTAAAATCTAAAAATTTCAATCTTATGATTTTTCTCTATAATTTTTTTTCTAAAAATAGAGATAAAGAATGATATTTTTTAAATAATACGTACCGAGATTTAACAAAAGTGTTCCATTTGGCATTCAAAAGATCAACTAGTATACCATCCATCAACTCTAAATGTTCATCTTTTTCCTAAAATTATCATAAAATACTTTGAATATAAGTTTTAATAGTAAATATTTAACATAAATTATTTGCTTACACCAAAGACAACTAAATTCAGAGCAGAATTGTTGTTAATTGTTCCGGTATTAACATCAATTGTGTCTATTTGTGACAATGGATAGGCTGCACAAGTTATACTACCGATCTGCCAATATATCTCTCTCTCGATGTTCAGGATGTGAAAAAACATTTCGATTCTAGCCAATTTTGCTGACAAAGTCAATGGTGTCAGATGTTGAACATTTCTTAAGGCCAGAGAGGATCCTACTTCATAAGCCATGTCAAATGTAGCCTGTAAAATTAAAGATCAAATATAAAGAGTAATAGATGCCATATTTTTAAAACTATCTGTAGTATATTTTAGATTTTTTAAAGTAAATAAATGTAAATGTAGATAATTATAAGGTAATATTGTTTCTAATAAGACATAAAAATCAAAAGAATTCCACTCGCCAATTTTTCATATATCACCAGCATATGCAAAACAGTATTCCCATTTGTATCCTGTTTATCAGGATCTGCGCCTCTAGCGAGCATAAGCCTGTAGCACTCTTCCTGGCCAAGACACGCGGCAAAGCTTAACGGGTACTCTCCCCAGTATACATATCTACAGACATAATAATAAAATAAATTTCTGAAGATTTTCATTTAATTAGCCGTGCAAGTTATTATATTTTCAATATTGCGCGTGATAAAGTTTGTTAAACATTTGGTAGGAAAACTTATTTATAATTAATATGTTTTAAATTTAATTCATTGTCAGTGTAATATTAAGTCATATTTAAGCTTAAAAAGTGCTGAAACATCTCGTTTAAAATAATGTATTAGCAATCAAAATAAAAATGCCTTATTGTCAAACGAGAAATGATAAATTTTAATATTGTTTATTAAAAAAATAATGCGATACATACCCGTTATAATTTGTTTCAGGTGCGACACAGACCCATTCGTGGTCCATATTGTCGAATCTCGACGCTTTCTGATCTTCCGGACACATGAAGTTACCAAAACATCTCTCATGGATTATACGCGGATCATCCGCACCACTATCGAGAAGAAATTTGACCATTGATGGATCCTCGTTTACAATAGCAATGTGCAACACGTTTTCTCCTGAATCAGAGGTAAGTCCTTACAAACATAATTTTCGCATAAATAATCGCAAGTACGAATTTTGAATTTTATGTATATATTTTTACAAACTAAAAATATATGCATTATATGGTTTAAATATATTTTAATATGTTTGGATGAGTTATATTTACACTCTAACTGTAATAGTATTGAATATACGATTTACGTGACCTAAATTCAAAAAAGTCAATTAGAAAATAAAAGGCGCAAGAGTTCCTATTAAAGGAATGAATAGTTTACCTTGGAAATGCTAATATCCCCATTACGCAAAGGATATAATGCTATGAATAGATAATTTATCCGGTATATTTATCAGGGAGTTTGTAAGCAAGATTTTCTATTACAAATTGCTCTATCTCATTTAAGAGATATGAGTTCTAATTCGATAACATCTTAATTTGTTTCCTAAATGATATTTGTTGAACATTTCGTAACAATTATGGAAATCAAACTTACCGTAATATTCGTCGCATAAGTAAATATCGTTTATAAGCATCGGATAAAAACGTAACAGCCGTTTTGCCAAATCGGCGTGAATAGCAGTAGCGTTTAACATACACAAATGCAAAATAGTTTCGCCGACGGCGCCTCTCTCACTCAAACTCCAGCATACCAATCTATATTTACTCTTATCTATCAAAAGTTATTATTTTGTTTATCAATGACTTATCATATGATATCCAATTTATACGAATTATAATTGAAGTAGCAATAGGAATACTTTTTGCGTGATAATCTGAGTTTTGCGTAATTTGGGCACAAGATTTGACACATTACCTATCTTATTTTCGTCAACTTCTTCATCACCCATATCTTTGTCTATATCGTAATCCGCTGGATTTTCCATAGCTTTTAAAGGCGGCAGCTATGCAATATGAATCGTTAATATGAAATTGTTAAAGGCATTAATACCAAAATTATAATTAGCAAAACTGGTCACGTACCATTCTATGTCGCGGACGATCTTTGTTTCGCAAGAGAACCAGTTTTTCTACAGGTATCCATTTGCCTTTTCCCTTATTGTACAGGAAGGGCTCGACTTTTGTTCTTAGTGCATGGTCTAATTCCGCATATTGCTTGGTTTGTGTAGCTCTTTTCATCATATCTACTAACAAACCTCCACCTGCAGTCGCAGATAAATAAGTATTCAACAATTAATTAATAAAAGATCTTTTTAATCTATAATACATTAATTTATATTAGAAAGGAGCTTTTTCTAAGGCCTAGTAGCTAGATGTATTTGCTATAATTTTATTACAAATTAATACATTAACAAACATTTTGGTCTAATTTTTCGATTATCTTCAGTGTTTAATCACCGCTAACATATGTATTTCCAAACCTAATTCCTAATCTTTGTATTCATAGTGACACATTTACGTGTATTTTCTTACATGCCCGCTTTTATTGTTCGCAGACAAAATTAGGCCTGCGACAAGTTAACTATAGAATAATTACAAACACGCAGGCACGTTTGGAAAATGTGTCATCATTTTAAAAACAGGCAATTTAAAAAGAAACTGACGTGTATACATGGACTACAATCTTTACTCTGGTATGGAAAGAAAATAAGATATGACAATAGGGGAATTAGGTTTCGAATTATGTAAATTAGCGGCGATTATAAAGAAACAGATGGTCGAAAAATTAGACCGAAACATTTGTTAATGTAATATTAATTTGTGATAAAATGAAATTATAGCAAATCTATCTATACGGTCTTAGAAGCTCCGTTTTAATAACTTAATTTCTTATAAAATAAATATTATATGACAGGAATTTACGATTCAATAATAGAAAAGACGATGAAAGAAAATACGGTATAAAATTATTTGTTAAAGTAAAAAGTGCTAATTTTATTTTTTACCAAGAGATAGTAGATAAAAGAAGATGAAAGATGTTATGATTATTAATAAGATTTTCACTTTAAATCACACTTTAAATTCTTAACCGTGCCGGATATCGAGAAAGTTTGCGGTGATGTATGGGCGCGCGAACGTACATCGTACGATGTATTAAAATTAAATCGCCGACGGCACGTGTATCCGTTGCGTCACTGCTGCAAGTATTTGGATCGTCGAGTGGTCGCGCTCGTCCGAGAACCATATATCGGGCATTAGCACTTCGGAATGTTCGATATAGTGACTCATGGACAATAATACGGATGGAATAGAAGAGGGTGATTCGCGATCGCAGCTCGTTTTGATTAATGTTAAAACCGACGCAACGTTTCGCGATTATGCGTGACGACATTCCTATTTTTGTAATCGAAAAATACGCGTCTTCTCTTATCGATTAAAAACAATTTTAATCACATACCAAACATTGCAATTCGACAATTAAACACCAAGTGTCAACTCGTGATGTTGCAGAGTACGCAATTGTCGGCGCTTTGACTGATGTTCTTATTTTTTCTTTGTCTTTTTGTATAGATGTTGCGTAACTGATTATCATTGTTATGATTATGATTTCATTTTACATACGATATTTTTGATAAAATTATATTCCATAAATCAATATTAAGGAGTTGGAGATTCTTTATTTTTCATTTATTAATCTAGCTATAATTTTCAACCATCATTTTATGCTATTTAGCTTTCTACTATTTTACAATTCAAAAAATCACAATGTATGTTAATCGATGATATAAATTCTCAAAATCATGCTAATTTTAAAACTCATTTTAGATAACTTGTATCTTGCAACAAAGTTTAAGATAAAATACTGTTTACAATTTTATGTACTGTTTAATATAGATAAATATTTTATATATATGCATGTATACTGATTCTTCACAAATATTTTCTGTTACATAAAATTATAAATAGATTTCTATTTTGATTTCTGTTACGAATTTTAGGTCATCTAAAGTGTTCTGTGTAACAGAATTAAATTTATGTTAAGCTTTCATATATATATATAATCAGAAAATATTTTTTATTCTGAAAAATTTTTCCTGATGTGACTTATGTTACATCAAGTCACTAGCAAAGTCAGTTTAAAAGTCACTGTTAAAAGCTACTGGCAAAAAATTTGTAAAATTCGGACAATCGATCGCGTTCAACGGATAATGACAGACTCGTCGGTCATTGACTCGATTACTACTTGAGGTTTGTTCGCGTCGCATGCCCCAACATGCTCATGCTCGCTCCAATACGCTCCAATACGCTCGAATACGCTCCAATCTATAGTATATGTAACGTAATGCTATAGATTGGAGCGTACTGGAGCGAGTAGGAACATGTTGGGACATTGCAACGCGAACAAACCTGTTGTCAAAGTGTACGTAACGCCATCTTGCACAACCTGGTGCAAATATTGCGTACATCACCACAGCAATTGCTGGCACAAGTCTGCGGAAAGAACGTGCAGCTGGGAGACTGCTGTCGTCGCGTTAGTAGTTAAACGTGGCGCAGCACGATATGAGCATCATGACGCAGTGGAGACAGGAGACAATATTGAAACTAATCAATGCGTACCGCGAGAGAAGGTTTCTTTGGGACAATACAGTGAGTGAATACACTGATCGGAGCAAGAGAATCGATGCATGGAAGGAAATCGCCAATGAGGTGCGTCAGATTTTCAAGATCATGTGTAATACAACTAGCAAAACAATGCATATGTGCGTTTTCTATTTAAGCAAATACATGAAAGAGAAGTATTTAATTTTTATTATATTTCCGTCAGAGAATGTTGTGAATGTCGATGATATAATTAATTCGAGATTGGTGCGGATATTTAGAAATTTTTCTATTATTAGTAAACTTTTTATTGATAGGAAATTAATTTTTTATATATTTGACTTATGTATAAATCAACAAAATTAAAAATTTAATTTTACGAAATTTAATTATATATAAATGAGACGAAAATCTCAATAATTTTATATTTAAAAAAAAGGCAATTTTTTTCATTTTCTTATGGTCATATATTTTATTAAGGATATAACAAGTCGATAAGACACATTATTATACTAAAAAAATTGTCTTAAAAACGATGATAATGTAATCATATACGTGCTAAAATGTGCCAGAAACATTTGGGAATAAAATAAAAACTACATATCTTGAAAATGTATTCCAGACGCTCGTGATACATCCAACACTTGCGCAAGTTATTGCGCAACGCCGGTACACCAAGTGCATGGAAGCCTTTATCGCGCCGAGAAAGCTTGTTGCATAGAGCCGCTTTTGCGAACGACCGTATAAAATGATTCATTTATTTACGCTGTTATATAACGCGTGCTCGAATTAATTTATCATCGAGACGTTTCTGAAGTAATAAGAGAACACAAATGCATGTCTTATCGTGGGGCTTGCATTTAGGTTGGATGTGACTTGATGACGGTGGAGAGGAAATTGAAGAGCCTGAAGACTCATTTCATGTCGGTTCACAAAGCTTACGCGAAACGTAGACTCAAGGCCGATCCGAATTTTGGCAGTGTTGTCAAGCCTAAGTGGTTCGCTTATGACGCCCTAACTTTTCTGGTTAGAGGACGTACATCACGTATTAATCGCGAAATATCGAACGTTGAAAAGCAGGTGCGTCTTGCAGTAACCATGATAATGTTATAATCAAGTTGATAATTATAACAGTTCTATTTAGTGTTAATGTTTTTTTTTTATTTATACATTGTAAATTCTCTTAAGTAATGTTAGCACTATTTTTAATTAATCCTTTTAATTTGATATCTTTTAGAATCCCGCACCCGCTTCTAGTTGGAAATCGCAGGTACACTTTAAAAAATATTTCTTTTACTACTGTGAAATTAATATTACAAATATATAAAGTCGTTGAAGATATAGTATTAACGTTGCATAATGTCGTATAGTATTTCAAGACTTTCGCCCGTTATATGATATTCCCGTCTCACGCGTCACGTAAAAAAAAAAAATTGAAAAATTTTGATCTTCATGACCCATTTGTAGAACGCACGATTCTGCGATGTCACGACTTTTTTCCCCGCAATTTCAGGAGATTTCGACACAAAACCGTGACGAATTCACAGTTTTTGCCGAACACGTCGCCATCCGGCTAAAGAACATAACGGACGTGCGTGCAAGACTTGTCGCGCAACATCAGATAAACAATATTCTGTTTGAAGCTGAAATGGGAAAGTATAACATGCAGTCGTCTTACAATTCAACGCATATCATGGAACACTTGGACGAGCCCTCGACGTCGAACGAGGAGAAAGTAATCATAAAAATGTCCCAAACAATGTAATCAAATCTTATAGATATAATTATTACATTTCTTCATAAAATTTTCAATAAATTATTGTTTCTCCCAGGTTCACAGATTTTTGTATAGCTGTAATATATTACTACACGGTCATTAAAATAACAGTCTTTTCTCGTTACTACATACATACTCTATTTTGAAGAAGAGTCTTCCAAAGATCGCGAAAGCATTTGGCATGTTCGACCGATGTTCGAACATGCTCGACTAGGCATAGCTCTATTTATGTACTTTTTGCTGGCGTGTCATATCTTTCGTACCGTTACAACCGTGAAAACGGCGTCAAAAGACAATTTCCGACACAGTCAACTGAGTACTGACAAGACACAATGCACGTGGAAAATCTGCGATGGCATGTATGCCATTTTTAGATCTTAAATCTACATATTGCAGCACATTACAATACTTAAATTAATGAATTGCGCACATTTAGTTATTTATGATAATTAAGATAATGTCAGTTAACGTTAATTAGTTGATGCAAAAATTATGAATATATTATACACTGAATCCTAAACCTGTTTAATTATTTCCCTTACCTTTTAGGTCGACTAATTTGTAAAGCAGAATGGACGATGTATCCGTCTGTTTCTTTACTCCGCTTGTTACATTGCTCTCTGTATTACCCATTTTTTAAATTGATAATTTGCTTTAAGTTCTCGTAAAAAAAGAATTCCTCGCATACCGAATGCGGCACAGTGCACGACTAGCATCTGAAATTGATAAACGTATCTGTTTTGGTTGCTAGGATACCGCAGTCGATTATCGATTAAGCAAGCAAACACTTTTTGATTTGAGTTTACAATGAAATTAGTATTTGATTAATTCAATTTATAAATATTTTATTATTTCTTTACAACTTAAATTATCGGAGCATTTTGTTATCGTAATAACAGAATGCAACTTATCTCTAAATAAAAAGTCATGTGTATAACGAAATTATAAATTTGACGGCAGAAGGAATTAAAATGTTAAGTGGATTTAGTAAAAAATCCTGTTCTGACAGGATAAAATCTTGTGCAGGCTCAAATATGCAGAGTCAGAATTGCGATTTTATTTTATTTATAACACGATGAAGTATACTTTATCACAGCTATGAGAATTAAATTTCTTAACAAATTGGCAAGCAAAGCTAATTAGTACTGTCATTCTGAGCGCTTTTCGCGACCGATGGTCTCCGAATTTTGGCGCTCATTAATTATTTGATGGTGCAGCCATTGATCAAGCGACTTCATCGCACATCTTTCTGCAGCTTTCTACACCATTATCATGAATGAAATTGCACATGCGTAGTCTAACTGTAGGCGTCTGAAGATCGTATCAATTTGCTCGCGCGATACTCGATTCGGCATTTTTTTATGAAGCTGAGAGCTTTTTATAACGTGACATATAAGTAAAGCAGTGAAGGATAGTGCATTATAGGATTTTTGAATTTAAGTTAAATTTATAAATGATTTAATGTAACACACTACTTTCGCATAATAAGATAAATTTAATTTCTGCAAATAAATAGTGTTATGATTTATATATTAAGAAACAACGGGAACTGATTACATAGCAGTTTTAACTCTATCTAGCAGCAGAGTTGTCGGTCTGTTGATCTACATAGTTGATGATCTGTAAACTACGAAAATAAATCAAGATTATAGTTGCGTGTAAAATAATGAATATTTACAACATTTTCAACAAATGAATGAATTATTATTTACCGTAAAATTGTTCCGCCGACGCCCGATGCTCCTCCTGAGTCTCCTCCTCCTCCTCCTCCTCCTCTCAGTTCTCACAGTTTTTTAAAGCACTCACACGCGATTGTGACGCGAATAATTTTTACGATAATTCTTTTAAGCACTTACACGAGTGCGTTTTTAAATACGAAAGTCACGCGACCCTTTAAACGGCACTCCCGATTTTTATTACGACGCATTTTATTACAAATTTTATTTTCTAATGAATTTTGTAACGTGAAAAATATTTCGTGTTGTGTTAATTGTAGAGAGAGAGAGCAAGACTTACCGCTACTTACCGTAGCGTTTGGGGGTTGTTTACGTCACGCTGTTTACGCATTCCATTCTTTCACTATCTCTTTCTATCCTGCTTTTATATGTTATCCTACTTCGTATTACCATGTATCTCTTCTGCACATATTACCCAAGTCTTCGCAAGTCCTTCAAATATTTTGCGGTATTTTGCCTCTTATTAGTCGCACTCGTACGGGTTCACACGTCGAGTTATTCCTCCTCCTACTACCCTTACTACTTTCCCTAACAGTTTTCCGCCTACCTCCCCCTTTTCTATCATTACCTGTTGCGTACATATTGTTCGGCGCAGAGTGCCGAACGCGTATTCCGTGCGACTAGCGATATCAGAGTTATACCTTTGTTCTCATACGACAAAATCGCGTCGAGAGTGTGTAAAATATCGTATAATCGTCGTAATAAAAATCGGGAGTGCCGTTTAAAGGGTCGCGCGACTTTTATTTTTAAAAACGCAGCGTGCAATGCGTGCGTCGCGTGTAAGTGTTTAAAAGAATTATTGTGAAAATTATTCGCGTCGCGATCGCGTGTGAGTGCTTTGAAAAACTGCGAGGGCTGCGAAAACTGTGAGGACTGAGAGGAGGAGGAGGCTCAGGAGGAGCATCGGGCGCCGGCGGAGCAACTTTACGGTAAATAATAATTCATTCATTTGTTAAAAATGTTGTAAAAATATTCATTATTTTGAACGCAACTATAATCTTAATTTATTTTCGTATTTTACAGATCATCCATTATCGCAGATCAACAGAACGACAACTCCACTGCTGCGCATCGATCGGTGAGTTAAAGAGAAAAATCATTTATTAATTTAACTAAGTTTATGCATTAAATCATCCGTATTACATAATTAAATTTTTTTACTGATTAGATATATCAATAACGAATGAAATTAATACCGATTTTCTACATATCGCGCGTTAATAATATTGTTTTTCATTGCTTGAGTAACTTGCGCAAGTGTTACGTGACCTTTTTAGCATACTGTTCTCTAATAGAGCAATGCGAATTAAGGTTGACAGATTTATAAGTCACGGTAAAGATCACTCGTGTCTTGTATCGTGCGTGTCATCGTGATCACGCTAGTATAATTGATCAATATAAAAGAATGCAAGGTTTGCGAGAGACCGTCGACGTATATAGAAATGTTTTATAACGTATCTAACATCATTTAATATATATATATATATATAGGCATATTTTCAACTATTCAAATAATTATTTACAGCAAAGATTTTTTAGAGATAATTTAGAGTAGCTTATTAAACGCTCAATTAAAAAAATTCATAAATTTTTTGTTGTGATAAATTATTTGTTTTATTAAATAAAAAAGTGATATCAAAGTTTAAATTTTTAGGAATAAGGCATAGAAGGGCCTATTTCCTAGAAGAGCAGTTTTTAAATATTTTACCACATTTTTATACAAGTATACAAATATTATACAAGTAATATATATATATATATTTTTTTTTATTTAAATAAGATTTCCTATATGAAAGCGTTATTTGACATATTTAAGTTTTATGTTCTCCAGTTATGGCACCTTCACGGTAAAAGGCGCCGTGGCTTAGTTGGTTAAAGCGCCTGTCTAGTAAACAGGAGATCGAGGGTTCGAATCCCTCCGGGGCCTTATAGGTCACACGTGTGATATCTTTTTGCGATAATTTTTTGTTTTTTTCGAGTTGTCTTAGTAATAAAAGGATTACGGCGACATTTTTATGCGATAGTGAGACAATGAGTCTTATTTTAAGAATTTGTAAAATAGATATTTTGAAACAAAATATTACGAAATAGTATTACATGTTTTTTTAGCATGTTTTTCTAATGTTAACATTTTCAGTAATGCTAATTTTGTATTTAATAAACTATTATTAATTTGCGTTATTTTATAAAATTCAAAAAATTAATTAGAAAAGAATCTATAATCTATAATGAATCGTAAGGTTCCAAACTTGCTGACTTCATAATCTCAGCTCAGCTGCATCTCAGCTGGAAAGTATTCGGAACCGAATGGAATTCGCATAAACTGTCCTAGACCGTCGATACAATAATAGAATCTAATTTCCTGCTTGCCAGGCCGAGATCAAGGTATTGTACGTTCGTGTATAGCCGGTTCTCGACACCGATATAAATGCGACTACGGTCATAAGCGTATTTATAACTGCTTAACGCGTATGATCAATTGCAGCATTTTGCCGTCTAAAAACATTTAGGTCTAAATTAAAGCACGGTCATTGCTTAGGTATGCATGAAAATTATTCACGGCTTTTCAACCGGTTGAAAAATGCGCTGTAAGTCGCTAAATGAGCTTAGAGAAAAATTACTTGGGATTAATCATCTATTTCTTCATTAAAATTTCAGCTTTAATATTATTTTTATTTAATGAAACAAGTAATTTTTAATTATTTTTTAATACAGCGCTTAATTATCTACTGTAAGCTAGCGAAATCTTTATTATTGACAATTCATAAGTGATAATTTTTATTTTTTTATTTATAACATTAAATGAATACATGTATATTAGAAGACATGAATTGAAATAATTCTTTCTGTAAAAATGTATCTGTGCGACGACAGGCACTCTTATATATACTATACTACATTGGCGAGAATTTATGGATACTTAAAAATGATCCTCTTATACGCGACCCACATTTTCAGGCGTTAAATTAACTTGCAGCGGAGAGGAAAAAAAAGAAAGTGACCGATCTATTTGTGAGATCGAAATATATGGACGTGCGTGAACTGCAGCTACTTCTTGCTGCTGCGGAACGAGCATAATCAAAGTGAAATATAGTTGCGCATGTTAAATAAACAGCTGGCTAAAGGGAATATTTGAAGTCATGTTAGAGAACTCGACAGAGAGAAACATATGAGAACATAGAAAAATTGCTCATTTTCTGAAATTGAAATCAACGCAATTTTGTTGAGCTAAAATTACAGTATTATAAAATAGCTTCTGTTTATTTGTGACAGTAAAAACGCGATAATTCGTGTAACAGATTTATTTCCTTATATTTTTAACGCAACAAAATTATTTTTAATTTAACTCATTAATATTCAATCAGTTTCAATTCTTACGCAATGCTTTATTTCTTATAATATTGATCACAGTTTTCGTGAGCATTTTAACTTTCCGATTACGGCGTAAATAAAGTAAAATATGAATTGCAGTGCGCACCGTATTGTTATAAATGAATTAAGTAAGTTTTTAAAATGAGTATATATTGAATTACAATGACACGAACAAAGTCTCATGCGAAACGGAGAAAAAGATGCCTACCGTTGAACGCTAATGCGCAATAATTAACGTCGGCAATTAAGGGATACGGAATAGGAATCGTCGACAGCGTTTCTCAGCAGTCTTTGTGCTGAATCCGATTTGCGAGAGAGGATTCCGTTCAGGCAATCTTATCTCGCGATTTTATCTCGTTACGTAATTAGTGGAGACATGAGGGTCGACGATTACGCGTCGATTGAAGATAATTACTAATTAAACTAAAACTCACGAATGAGATCAATGCGAGCGCTACTTTCTCTTTTTTGTATGAAAACAAATCTTCGATTATTATAACAAAGCGAGTGTGGTACAATGGATAATTAACTCGAAATATATATATTTCAAATGGAGCACAAAGTACTCGTTGATCTGCTTGCCGAAAGAAATATCTTTGAAGAAAAGGCTCGTTGGTCTAGGGGTATGATTCTCGCTTAGGGTGCGAGAGGTCCCGGGTTCAAATCCCGGACGAGCCCGTTCTTTTTGCCTTACATTTGTTGCATTGTAAATCTTACAAGATATTTCGCACTGTGATATTTGTAAATAATTTTTTATGATACACGATTTGTAACAACATATTTTTAGTGCTGAACTTAACTTTACGGATGAGTGATGACAACGAAAGATATCAATATTTATGATATCTCGCAATTAGTAACAATTTATACTCGCGTTTGCTAAAATTCGGAACTACTGAGAGGATTGTGTGTGTCGCAATTCTCGTCAAATTACATCATTACCGATTGCCTCGGGGCAATTTCCATGAATTAACATCTTCCTTCTTCCACTCAATGTCGTTCCGAAACAATGAATAATTAAGACCAGATAGTCAGTCATTATAAATAGCTTTGCGCGCGTATCACACTTTAATGATACGATCACGAGATTAATGCTCGCGATTTAATTCTTAATCGACTCTGTTATGTATTATCCTGTACTTGTCGCTGCGTTTAATAGATTTTTGATGCGATATTCTCGATTTCTTGCAGTAGCATATCAAGTTGGCTTCTGAAAGAATGCGGATGGCATTTGCCGCGCTGAGTTCGCAGTCAGATTAACGCGATCGATTTTCTTTACATAGCTCATGTTTGCTTGGCATTCTCGGTGAATTCGTCATCGCAATTAAACCGTTGTGCGTATTATCCGATTCGAGGGTTATCGTAATCATTTGTCGATGTGGAACCGTACGAATTCGATAAGCGGACTGATTATTCGCTGGTATGTCGCAGTTTAGCGCAATTTAGAAAGCTTTTACATTTTAAATATTAATTTTAATTAATAATTTTTGCATTAAAAGAATCAAGAGCCTACTTAAAATATTTTGAATTAAAGTTGAACTGTGTGAATAAAAATGAGACAAAAGCACAAGTGACAGTATATACGTTTTGTGCCAAGGGCCCTCCTCTGTTTTTGTCACGAGCATCTGGTTTATATTTGCAATAGTTTGTCTTCAAGTGTTATCGTTGTTATCGTTGTTATCGACGACACAGGTATTGATATATTCTAATCATATAAATTGTATAGAAGTATAAAATAACAATTTGCAATTTTTTTTATTACTCATATCTTCTTAAAATATTTACAAATGCATTCGTTTCATTTTATTCATACAAGTTTTAAATAAAAATTACTCAGAAGACTGGGCAAAAAATGCCACAAAATGCTAATATATCGTAAAATATAATGTAAAATAGCTGTCTATCTAAAAAGTTTCATATTACACGTCTGTTTTCGTTCGCACAATATTTCATAGTGCGCTTATTTTCGCGAAGCACCGTAACATTTGTTATCACCTGTGTATTCGAGCCGCCCTTGCAACGATATGGAAATAATATTATTGGTCATTGGGCGCAGAAACATTGGCTTTCAGCACTCGGTTTGCAAGTTTCTTCTCTTCGAATAATCTCTGGGCTTTGTGCTCGTCTTTACAATGATAAATTCTGTCGGAAGTGGAATATATGAGATCTCGTGAGCGAGATAGAATCAATACAGATTTCAACACGCGTTTAGTTCAACTCAGACAGATTTTTTTTTCGATCGGTCCGGAGTGCAATTTCGAGAGAGCATTCGCCGAGCACATGTGTCTATCGTTAGGGACAACTGACCGTTCGGGTCGAGTACGCTCGTCGTGTGTGAGTACCTTCTAATCGCGGATTCTTCGAATCGAGATTAGCCTCGAGAAAGAAAGCGCACTATCGACATCTTAATATAGAAGTACTGGATGGCAAGTGAGCTGCATGTTGGCTAAAAATAGATATTTCGATAATTTCACGTAGGGTTGCATTTCAAGAGGTTCAGGCAGCTAGCTTGGTACATACTTCCAAGAATATTACAATATCTTTAAGACTAAAATTCATCATTCGTGTGATTTCCTAAAAATCATCACGCTTCCTTCTTCATATTAAGAATTATTGTTGTCACCGTCATTTATCAATCAGATAATCAGACTTCTAGCGATTTCTCACATTCCACCAGATCACCTTCAGCAGGCGTCATCCGTGCTTTCGTCATCCCGGCGATGACGCGGAACGACGGAAGACGTTGCAGCGGCAAGGAGATCCGGTGGGTGGTGTGGACCACAGGCCTCCGATCGTCTCTCGCACGGCGCTCGACCGTGCCGCTGCTCTCCGCTCCTCGTGACTCCTCGAACCGAATTGTGATACCGAGACTTAGTTTAGCTTGCGTTTACCTCTCGTCTCCGTGGGTCAGTTAGGCTTGCGCTTTCGAGCCGCCAGCACCGGCTGTGTTCTTCTTTTCTCTGTCCTGAGTGATCTATCTCGATCGCGTTCGATACTACGCCTTCACGTCTTCACGACGCCTTAAACATTGAATTATATTTGCGGATTTTTTCGATTATTATTTTTTTTTGCTTTTTTCTATTTATCACTGTGCATTCGTCCCCGGTACGAGGCACATGCAAACCGATCGTCGCCGAAAAAGATAGTCCTCGATTCGGACCAGACTGAGTCTCGCCGTTTTCGAGTAAGTGATATAATTGTTGGAACGGTGTCATAAGCTGCGTACGATTTTTATCAATACCAAGAGTGAGCGCGATTTTGAAAAATGGTTCAAATTTGTCGAAGCTGTGCAAGTAATTGTCAACTGGTCAAATTTTACACAAGTTATATAGAAACATACAGAAACAGTCATAATATAGTGAATTGTTATGATAGGATACTGATATGACACTCTGTTAAATAATATTTTTTTCAAGATTTTTAATGGAAAATGTATGTAAAATTTTAATACGCAAAACGTTTGTGTTAAATCGAATCTTATTGTAATATGCAACTCTTTAACTTCTTTCATAAGATGGATCAATAACGAATTTACAAGACAACATGTTTTATGCTAATTGAAAAAAGTCAAAGAATTAATATATTAACGCTTAATTATGTACTTATTTCCTTTTTTTTACAATTTTATTAATATTTAATTTTTATTATAATATTAAATTAAATTATATGTTTTCTTTATATTTATACTTATTTCTCTCACTTTCATTCATGATCGTTAACTTTTTCTCTCTTATGACAGATTAATAATGAGTTGAATTTGAATATCTTATCGAATCGTTATCAAACACTGATATCATCAGCGAATATATCATGAAAAAAATGCGAAAAATGTTCTCAAAAATTCTCGTAGTTTATAAAAATAGACGATTGTTTAATCGAGTTCTAAATGTATTTTTTATATCGATACGATTGCCACGATGAAACGTCGCATTCAATTTTATATTTTATTTAACAGTTGTAATAAATTTTTGGTTTTTCGTGGGTTCTCGTATACGAGATATTATTTGCGTCGTTTAAAGTGCTATAAATAAAATTTAGTGTTGAAATAAAATTCAATTATACTTTTGACTTAAAAAATTTTAGTTTAAAATTAATGAGTAGGACTAAGATTTTTAAACATGCAAATTTTGAAATTTGCACAAATTTGATTTTAGTAAACATGAAATATATTTTTTATTAGCGAAGTAATTGCCAAAGTGATTTTAGATAATTAAACAATTTTTATTTTGAATAGTATTTTAATTCAAAGAAAAAATGTTTTACGCATCGTTTTTTTAAATGTTTAACACAGAAATTTGATACGGAACGTGGTTTTTAAGTTCATCGGATTTAATGATGAGATCAGCAACAAGAAAAAAATGTGGAATACATATGCACAACGGGAATTATTCGTTTACTGACTCTGACAAATGTACGCGCAAGTTTGATATTGATATCGATGTCACGACCTGCTGTGAATAGCAAGCACCTAAATAGCGATTTGTCTGTTGTTATCAGTTCTAATCCACAAATTATGTCAATATACGAATTTAGACGGATGCTTCTATCGTGATTACGATCGCGAGGTCAATAAGTAGGAATTGCATAGATTCTTGTTTTGTTTTCTCTGATTTGCACTATTATTGTCAAGGATTGATTTTTCATTATCTTTGTCACGATAGATTAACGAGATTTTTTTTTACAATAGATACTTGATAATTATATACCGCTCCGCGTACAAAGTTTCATTAAGTCTTAGCATAATACGTGAGTCGAACGGCTTGTGCACTCAGGCGCTAGCGACTGAGCAATTCATATCACAACGGGTTTGTAACTCTATGCAACAGATATCGCGGCGCGATTATGATGAGTGAGAGTATACTTTGCGATATGATAAGTGCGTAAAAAATAACAACCGACCGAAAATCACTTTGCTCATCGAAGAGCACTTTCGCTGCGTGCAGTAATCTTAAAACTCGCGAGCGCGCGCGCAAAAATTCTTTGCTCCGACAGCAAGTCACAGCCTTACCGCTTCACGACAATTACTCGTATATGGTAATTGTACAACTTTCATCGGCAATAGCGCATGGTAATAGCACTGATTTCTTCGTGAGCCAGCGATAGACAGTTTACAAGCAGCTTGCCGCGTCGTTAAATCACAGCGACGACAAGGCTGTGACGAATGATGATCACAGTGGAAAAATGTTAGCGTACAAGGTTCGTTGAGAAATTTCTGGTCGTTTTCTCGTTGAAAAAATTTTGGAAGAAATAATTGTTGAGAAATAATTATTTGTCAGCATTTTTTCGTCAGATCCTTCAAATTTTTTCCTTATACATTGCGCGCACTAATGTTACTCTGAAAATAGACGACTTATATATCGCATATTAGCATGAGAGCAATGGATATATCAGTCGATATAAGTCAAGGCACTTTATGAATATTCCTTGCGCGAGTGTAGTGATACTCTAGTCATTTAAAAATACTTAACATTTTGAAAAAATATTCTACGTATAGGCAATAACTTTACAGATAGAGTGTAAAAATAGTGTGTATATGAATTATATTTTTAATTTCATATTTTCCATTAAGATTTTTTTTTAATACGTTAATTTTCTAAATAAAGTATATTGATATGGCGAGTATAGTTGTAATATTTCCAATTTGATCATGCTTTTTACTTCGATAATTGCATCGCTGATGAAAGATGTATATTATGTTTACCAAATGAAATTTATGGATTTAATCTTATATCATTTCTTATCTCTGACAATCGATGGAATGTTACCTTGGAGAAATGGAGCGTATCATAAGTCTATTTGAAATGTTCCTTGGCGCTCCTTCTCTTCAATGTCAACGGACTTATCACTATCTCGTGCGTTAATATGAAAATTTTAGATTTTTTTCGAAAACCAATATTCTATAACATGTTCTATTTATTTTTAGAATACATAACGTTTTATGCAAAATTTCTTTTGTTTTAACACTTAAACTAATTATTACTATTATCAAATATTTGTTATCTATTTTTCAGAAACGCGTTTTTCTTTAAGAGATAATAATTCCTTGATGCAACATGTTTTCTAAAGTGACTAACGCAATTACAATTACAATTTGTAAACTATGTCCTTTGATACTGTCAGCGCATTGATTGCTGCAGTCAAAGTTGCGGCAGCAAAATTTACGGTCGTAATTAAAACTCCCACGGTGCAGTTGTATCGTCAAAATAAAACAGCGACTAAGAAATCTCATCTCATCCGATTACTCCGTTCTAATTTGAACGGTCGTATTAATAACCATCACCGACGCGTGTCGCGACGAAAAGTAAACACCTTTTGATGAACGGATAGCGAGGTGAATAAATCCCGCTTTAATCTCGCGTTAATGAAAAGGCCATTATCGACGGGCGAGATGTAGGTCACAGGCTGGCATCGACAGATAAAATTGTTAACATTATCGCGACATTTATCGAGAACAAGCAACAGTTTGTGGATGCTGGATCGGGCGATCGGATTAACCGCGATGTCTTATCTGACGATGAGATTTCTGACATTCCATGTTACGCGGTCTCGCAAATTTTGCCGAATAAAAATTAACCGTATAAAAACCGCGGTATGATTTGTGAAAAAAGTAATTTGTTGGTTAAAAGTAAAGAGAAAGCTGAACCGTACAAAGAAATTTTATCTTTTTGTGAGTTTATGCTACACCGTATATGTATTTCATTACGAAGTATTACTTAAATTATGAATGTAGAAAAAATAAATTGATCGCACATTTCTTTCTACATCTTACATGATTATTTATAAAATCTTGACAGAAAAGATTAATATAAGATTCTATTCTCTAAACATACTTTGTTAGAAAATATTGAAAAATATTTGTTAGTACGCAAAAATTTCTAATAAAAAAAATGTAACATACGTCAGTTTCATAACCAGGAGCGAGTATGCGTCAGTGCTACGACGTAACCCTTGACAAGACGCCGCTCGCATGTAATTCACTTCTCAAGATCGGTATCGTGATACCAGCGGCAAAGTATGGTGCCAGGCGTGTTTGCAATTTGCTGATAATCATCAGCTGGCACGCATAAGGCGTTAACGAGTGCCCCGTAACGATAATTGAACGATCATTGCGTCGCTATAACTACGATGACGAGTATGACGATCCATTAATCCACCATGCGCTAATGAAGTTTCTATATCGTCGAAATTAATCGTTTAAGCGTTTGAAGCATGAGTTTTGAATTTGCAATGATGAGAATTTCTAAGAGTTACGTGAAAACTTTCATGAGCAGGAGCCAGAGATCTTCTTACAATGTAACCGAATACGGAGCACACAGGCGCGAATTGTCATCGCTATATTTACTTGTGGTATATGCAACGCTGGCACTAATTGTCAATCGCGGTTTTGCATCTTAAGTTTCAACTCTGCCAAGATGGAGCAGTAGTCACGAGCTCTAGTAACATTCTGAAAAAAATTATTGAGAAAAAAATTGCATATCTTGTTTTATTTTACTTTTTACTTGTTTTACTTTTTTTTTTTATTGTTTAAGTATGTCGTGAGATGAAGATAATTTCTCATTTTGTCGGTGCATTTACGAGCATTATAGATTAATAGTTAATAGAATTGAGAAAATTTATCTATATACGGTAGTCTTCATCATTATAAACACGCGAATTGCTCTGACACACCGTGAAATCGGCATACTCACTTTATTGCTGGATATTAACCGAACACGTTTATTGCACCGTACTGCTATCGTAGGCGCCACCATTAAACATCTATTAAAGTAAAACGTGGCTATTAATCGTGTTCAATAAATTAGTTTACGATGGTGGAGGAGTTACGATGTTTGATAAATAGCTGCGGAACGAGATATATGTATCAGTCGCGTGGTTTTGGCGTTAAATTGCTTTCCCTAAAGTTTCGACAAATCCCTCTCGCATTTAGGGATGTTGAAATTTAATATTTTGATATTGTGGGATTTTAGAATATACTAATTATAATTTATAATTATAATTATATCAATTTTAGAATATACTAATTAAATTTCTAGTATCAAAATTGGTGATAACTAAAAAAATTGTTTGCAACGATAAATTAATGTAATAACATATGTATATTGCAGAAGTTACAAGCTATTCCAAAGTGAATGCTAAACTTTCCGCAGTATAAATGTAAACAACCTATAATACCGTGGAATTTGGGGCAACGGCGCGCATCCATCCGGTGCTCCTGTTTGGTATGACGTACACGTTATTTTTAGTATTAACAATTTATAAAGTTACGAATAACTGCGGTGCGCCGTGCAGTAAACACAGTTTAAAAAAAGCAGGAGAAAGATTCATAGCGCTAAAAAAAGAATATCAAAAGAATTTAAGGTTATTTATATTAAACCGAAATCTCAAAACAGACTTATCGCTATTTTATTTATGTGCTGTAATTTTTACTAATAATTAAATAAAAAAAGATTTATTATAATAATATAAAAACAGAGGTGTCTCACGCTAGTTGTTAATTGTTTACATTACAATCTTCTTATTAAATACATATGTTAATAATCTTTATATTGGTTAACTTAATTAAACGTTTCGATCAATATTTGATCATTCTTGGTAATTAAAATATAGTTGTAGAATATAATTTCTGTTTGAGGTCATGCTGTAAAATATGGAAAAAACAATCAAGTAAGCAAACAATGTATTGATCGAAACGTTTAATTAAGTTAACCAATATGAAGATTGTTAACATGTGTATTTAATAAGAAAACAACTAGCGTTAGGTACGACATGCTCTGTTTTTGTATTATTATTTCATACGTGCCTTTCTTCTTTTATTGAAGATTTATTATATTTCTTTTTTTTTTTAAATTAATGTAACATATTTTTGAGCACATCTTTTTAATTTTTTTTCTAAAATTTGCTAATATGATCGGATATTGCGATAAATTCTTTAATTAGACAAATAAAAAATTACGTAAGGCGCAGTATGGGCGCGCGGAGTACATACGATGATTGCCGCATACATGCAGCGAGAACAATTTTCACGCGCAATTCCTCCGCAACTATGTATCTGTGACATTTACTGCACGTCGTTCCTTGTATTAATGACAGGTGGCATAAATCAACTGGCACGTGCCTCGATGTTGATGCAAGAAGAGTTTTGGCGCGATCGTTATCTCAGACGTGAGATCCTCTATTTGAGAGCGATGACCATTCGCGTGGGTTGAAAACTCTCGTGTAGAAACGCATTTCTTTAACGAAGCATTATGTTGGCAGCCAATAATAGCGTATATTTCTCTAACAATAATTGCTTTGTCAGCCTATAAATCGGGAACTTGAATCACTTTTTGCGCGTATTATTTCATGCCGCAAATGTTATTCGATTCGAGAAAAAGATCTAACAGATTTTTTTTCTAGGAAAAAATCAGTAGTGTAAGAATTCTGTTGTTCTGATTTGAGCCTGAACTGAACTCTATAGTTATTTATTTTGTCTATTTTATCTAACGGCGCAAAAAAGCGGCTTCTCGCAATATCGCTGTTGTCTGCCATAAAAAAAATAGCGGCGCGAATCATACGAGGATTTTTGAATTAAATCTTTCATATGCTTTTCATACGGCCCATAAAAATAAGCAGAGGCAGAATATAAAGGGGCTTTATACAACATCGTGTTTATTATTCCAATATCCCGCAGCGAAATGTCCGGACGTATTCAGAAATATCTACACGAAACGGTTTCGCTCATTCCGACATTTTCTTGGAGCGCGATTACCTTGCAAACATATCTGCAATCTCTCTAAAAATAGATGTACTAAAGTTAGTTCATTTATGGATTAAAAATAAAACAGTTTACGATGATACTTAGAATCTAGATATTGGAAATAAAAATTTTCCAATTTTTTTGAAATAGAAATATTAATTAATTTCTTCTTCAAAAGGCAGCATCTGCGATAAATTATCGCGCGTCGTCGAACCGGTTGTATGTGGTCGTATACGTCGGAACATTGATATCGTGTTATGTCATTGCGTTTAGTAACGCTACTTCATAGTCAGGCTGCTGCCAGAGATTAAAGAATATGCTCCGCCTTATGCAAATGTCGCAGATCTGTTTAGCATCAGGGAAACGCTCGCCAATACGAATTTTAAGTTTGGCTTTATCGACAAAAATTAACTGTACCTTCATCCGTGTGTTCTCTTCAATTTCGTCTGAAACAAAATTTGTAATGTAAAAATTGTAAGAAAGAGATAAAAATGGAAAAAAATGACGAGATATGCATATGTCGCACGGAAGCTTGAATAATAGAATACTTTCGAAAAGGAACAAAATGCAACGCACTTTGTCATTTAAATTTGCATACGTCGGCAAACGGCGAATCCTTCCTTTCTGTTTGGAAAGGGAGGACTTCTAGGATCATGAACACACACAAACTCGAAAGACAATTGTCAGCTGACGTATAATTTAAGCATCTGCACATAACCAAACGTTGTATCACCCGTGCGTGAATCATAAAATGGACTCGATGACAGGATACGTATGACTCCTTCGCATGACGAAAAACCGCATTTACCAAAGTAACATCCTTGATGACTTTCGACGTGAGGAAATGATGAGATACCGCGGTAAATTCACGTTTAACCGATGGCGTGGCGCGAGGGAGTAAAATATATATTCTGTCGCTGTAGTTGACGCGATGCTCGTGGAATTTAATCTATAATTATGATATAAAGGCCGCTAGCTAGCTAATTAAAGGCGCGCGTTGCATTTAATCACTACTGCGTCACTTGTACCGCCACGCGCAACTTGGCCGTAGCATGCTCTCTATCATCGCTGAGTTCATCGCTATCACTTCAGTATCGATCGAAAAACACATATGAGCGAGAGAAGTGATATAGGTCATGAATGGAAATTTTACCATTTCTCATGGAAATTGATGTGAGTGCCTTCGCTAATAACACGGTGTACGAAAGATATAATCTTAAAAAATAATTAGTTTGCTTTTTATATATTTTTAAATTTTTTACAAAAACTATAAAATTTCTACTTACATTAGTTTTCGAAATCACACACGCATTTTTCGAGTATTTATATTCTATAGAAATTATTTTGTTATCTGTGTTATTCGTGACACACAATAAGTCGTTCAGGCTAGTCCTTCCCTTTCTTCGAATTCGATTCTTCATCGAAAAGTCGGTCACAATTATAAGCTCGCCGATAAAGGTTACATAGCTTTCCGTTGACAGTATTCATTGAGCATAAATAAATCTCAGTTCTCTGACGTCACGCTCGTGCAAACACGATTAATCAATATTTAATAGCTTTATGATGTATTCGCGATATCCACTTTTGTAAATGTAAAGGTCTTCATGGTGATTATTAACGATATTGTATATCCTTTAATTGACAGAAAATATATGGCTACATTTATTTTGCTGATTATAATATCCTCGAGACGTTTATTCGAGACCTTCATTAATTTTACATTCAAGTCTTTTTAAATTTTTATATCGCGTAGAACAAGTGTAATCAATCGGGTAAAAAAATGTGACTAGTATAATTTGATTTTTATGCTAATTAAAGTTATTATCTTCGTCTCGTTCATAGTTAATGAATAAACAGTTATTACATAAATTCTATGCGAGTATGTGGTAAGAAAAAATATCAGAAGGAAAATAGGATAAATGTGTAATTGCGGAAACGATGTATGCCTTTTTATCCGCGTCGGTACCAGACAATGTTTCAATCACATCACGTACGTTTAATCACGGTCCGACAGAGACAGGAAGTAATTCGTGCGAATAATTAACGTTCATGCCAGTATCTATCCGACGTAGGTAGATAGAATCAAATCGGTTGCTGCATGAACTTACTGTTAATGGGACTAAGCAGGTCAAGAGCGCGTTATTATGCGATAATAGATACTGATAATCGACCAGTTAATTTTACGCGTTACGCGAATCGCGTTATCTAACACGCCTGTCACGCCTGCAGTCGGATTTTCGCGCGTATCAAATCATAATTAATTGGTAATAAAATAACTCTGCATAGGAGAAAGTTGTGATCGATTGGCAATGGCAGTGCGGTCCAGAGTGAATCTAAAAGATCCAAGTAGAAATTATAAAAAATTTATTTTTTTGCAGTCTTAATAAAAAGATTGAACAAACTTTTTGTATAAAATGTGCATATATAAAAATATCTAATGTGTTAAAGATCACTTAAACAAAAAGCACTTCGAACTAAAGTAATAAAAATTTAGGATTATTTGACATAAAAAAGATGAAAGAATTTTTTTCTCTCTATTACGAATCAACTCGAATCTTAATAGAGAATTTATGGACGTCGGAGCAGAAAGTGGTAGTTAAAAATACACCATCTGTATTCTTTCCTGCGACGAAGGGACCTTAAATTGACTTTATCTTGAAGGCTAACTTTAAAGTGGACTCGTTGATTCGGAAGGCCTTAGAAACGGTCATTTTAACCTTGGTAATCGTAGAAATACCCCTGGAGTCATGCCAGTTCCTAAACAGCCGGTTAAACGAACTGTCCGTCTCCGTCAATGTGTCAACTCCACTTATAAAGGGGGCATGACCGTTCGACTAATTCTGCGTTATTCACGCGTAACAAAAATCTTAACAGTCTGGCCTAATTTAACGAGGATAGCGGGGAAACTTTTACGCGTGCCATTTGTATGCGCATCAACGTGGAGCATGCCAATGTCGCCTTATGCCGCAAATTGCGATGCTGCAAACATCGGCGTTAGGCAACATGGTGACTGATAATAGCGAAACACATCAAACTTCCCCGTAATGATGTAACGTCTGGACCGAGTCCAGAAACCGCTCCCACACGCGTCAGCTCGGATAGATGAGCCACACGCGAAGGCCGTTTTGCATTTCACTTTACGTCTTATTATCGATCATTCGTTCGGAACGCTCGTAAACACTTCTGCCGTTTCTCTCGCCGCTCTCGGAACCAGCTAACTGGTAGACTTTCCTCGTATTACTTTATCGTGACTGACACATGGTGCAAATTTGCGTGTCAATGAGACATTGCGCTGATAACGACGTTGAGGATGACAGAGCAGTGATTTTAAATTATTTCTCTGATAACGCGTTATCAGAGAAATAATTTTCGCTGCAAAGAGATGCAAGCGCCGGTTTATACGCTAAAGGAATTTAAAAGCGCAGATCCACTTCCAAATTCTTCTTTCCCAAATTCATACATCTATAAGTAAATTCTTGTTCTTGCCGAGTCAGTCCTTATTAGGACTTTCGTGGGATGCGACGCCTATGTCACGGGTCAATCGTCACCGATCCTGTGGACGCACCGAGACGTTGCGTCCATGAATGAGGGATTTATCTTGCCGGCGCTTAACTTGACTAGTTTTATGATCGTTTATTTTTGTGTTTTGCGCTAATTAGTATTATTTGCTCACGCCGGGACTTGATTGCGATAAGAGACATTAATCGTTTTAATAATTTTTTTATACGAATTTCTCGTTTTGGTGAATTACCGTTTATTACGCTGAATAGAATGTTGACAGTGCGAAGATGACTCGAGAACACTTTGTGGCGTTTCAGAGAAGACGGGTCAACCGAGCGACCTACTTATTTACGCATTCCCTGTGCGGAATATTTGCATTAATTGCTCGTTTTTCAATGAACGCGTCAGGCTTGTCCCCATGGAGAATCCACGATCGGAGACAATAGATCTTTTCGACCCTTTGTTCCCTTCTTTATATGCAGAAATAGCTCCTTTAGTTGCCAGTGCAGTTCTTGGAAGTAGACGTTGGACGAAGAACACGGGATGCGAAATACACATAATTGATTACAATTTCGCGCTTGGCGTGTTAAAAATATTTCTCAGATTAAATTGCTTCATATTTTATGCTTTTTTGATTAAGTCAAAATTGATTTTATTCAAACAAAGATTTTGTTTTTTAATATTTTTAATAAGATACGATGCCAATCGAACTCAAGTTTATCAAAATTTGTTCATTAATGAGTAAATATTGCCTTTTATGAAATGTTTCTTAAAAAAAAAAGTTTTACGCACTTGTGTGTATATTTATATTTGGCAAATATATGTACGTATTTAAATTTAATGAAGTACCATCGGCTGGAAAATCGGTATCATTACGCAAGCATGCAGTCAGGAAGCTGAAATCACGATCCTCGTTCCAGTCTGGTAAATTCCATCAATATTATAATGCAACCGATTCGGGTGACACTCGTTTCAAAGTTACGTGATCCGTAATAGACGATGCATGGACCGATCGTTACGGGCGGCAAATGTTAAGCGCGTCGCCACTTGGAGAAGTGGTTGTTGATGAATGAAATGGTTCAATCAGAAACCGTTAAATCTTTTAGCTATTTTTTCTTGGCACTAATTAAATATTAATATTCTTTAATCTTTAATAATAATAATATGTGAATATAGTACAATAACAAAAATGAGAAATTAAATATTATACTTTTTATAATTTTGAAAGAATAGAAATGTTTACATTGTATATCTATGTCTATATCGCTGATTATATTAAACAGTGTATTGAATTTTATCCAAATTAAACTCATAGATTTGTTATTACTTGAACGACTTTTCGAGCAATGTACTGTGGAACAAAAGATCTAGAGATCGAGGAATGCCATTTGTTTGCCGATAAAATGCGAATATGTTGCACAAGTCTAAAAAGACTTATCATCTTCTGTAGAATGCCGCATGACAAATCGTGCGGCATTTAAACGGCCGACGCCTTGAAGCCGTTCCAAAGCAGACCGGATGACGCGTCTTGGCGGCCACAACATTGCAAACTCTTGGCAGCGTTATTGTTGTCAATTGCCAGCTGTTACCGAACCCTACATACTTACGCGTGAACGCACCTGGACGAGTTACGCGACTTACGGAATTGGTGCCATTTAAAGTTACACAAAATTAACAAAAGTAACAAACCACTAAAATTAAATAAAAAGATGAAAATTAAACTGATATTAAATTACGAAAAAGAATTAAGATTAAAACATAGATATAGAATTAAATTGATATAAAATTTGCTGTAATTATATATAACAAAAATATTTAAAAAAGAAAATAAACATATTGACAAAGCTGTAATATAAATCTACATTGATTAGCAATATAATGATTCTTTCAGGATGTGGACCGCACACTGCCAGAATTTAGTGTTCATCGCTTTTGTGTTCTTACCCTCTATCGCGAGAGGTATCCCGGATTACTCTGGACTGCCAGCGGGACCATACTGCGCTTCAAGGTATCCTGGAGGCGGCTGCTGCCCAGGACGACAGGATGAGTGCAGCGCGCCAATTCTCACGACGCTATGCTACTGCGACGATTTTTGCGATCGCACTCGCGAAGAGGACTGCTGTCCGGATTACTGGCACCATTGCAAAGGAAGGGCGAACGACACGGATCCGCCGGAGGAGATAAGAAGTACGTAATTTTATATAAAGTATATATAAATATACATTATTAATACATTAATATATTTACATAATGTACAATATTTATTATAATTAAATTTGATTTTTTCTAACTTCACATAGAGAAGAAAGGCCTGAAATTTTTGATCATAAAACTTGCGAAGAATTATTATATAATTATTTATATTCGTTTTATTAATATGTAATACGTTATAATCTCTCTAAATTTTTATATTGATATAGGGTGTTTCTTCCATGGAAGAGAATATAATCATGGACAAACAGTACGAGTGAACTGTAACACATGGTAATACTTTGTTTTCCTTTTCAATATAGCAGCAAGAGGCTGTTGAGATAAAGCAGACCGTGTAAACTTGATTTATGTCACAGTAAATGCTCCTCGCTTGGTAAACGCGCCGAAATGCTCTGTGAAGAGACCCGATGCTTGATCGAGTCGGAATTGATGGAGCAGCTCAACCTGCAAGGATCCACTTTGGGATGGCAAGTGGGCAATTACTCCGAATTCTGGGGAAGGACACTTCGGGATGGTGTGGAACTTCGCCTAGGTACTCTCAACCCATCGCAATCCGTAAGTACTAAGAAATACTCTCTCTAACGGATAGTTTTAGAAATAGCTTTGCGTTCTGTATGTCTTTATGAATACAAAAAAGTGAAACGGATGTAAATTAAATTAGAAGTGCACGTTCGATAAATAATTAAAATTATGCAAATTTATGGAATATTTTTCTTGTAAATGCATTATTTGATATTCAAGAGAAGATAAATTTAAAGATTGCCGAAGGAAAGTTTTATATAAAAGGATTGCGCGATGAATTTATAAATGAGCACAGCTCGATAAATTCGAAGTAAAACAACCTTGTTCTTAAAACGTGATGGCTGTGTATAGATGCAAACTTACCTCGAAAGATTAGGTCAATTGCTGCGCTTGTGCAACTAGGGCTAAAGTTCCACGACTGAAGTAATTTCCTGTATTTTACTGCGAGGGTTTTATGAATAAGAAAGCGTATGAATGGCCGCGTTGCTTACAGGCTTACATTTGAAGCTCTTAAAATTTAAGTCTTAGGCCATAAACAATTTTCTCTTCAATTGCACAAAAAATTCTTGTTATTAAAAAAAACTTATTAACGCACACAAATAATGATATCTCGTGATAAATGGTCTTGGAATTATTTTTTTTTTTATTCATCTTTTGTAGGTATACAGAATGAACCCAGTGCGACGTATTTATAATCCAGATGCACTACCACGAGAATTCGACTCCAGAACACGTTGGTCACGCGATATATCCGGTATTCATGATCAAGGATGGTGCGGCGCGTCTTGGGCTGTGTCCACGGCCGACGTTGCGTCCGACAGATTCGCGATCATGAGCAAGGGCGCCGAAAACGTGGAGCTCAGTGCGCAGCACCTGCTTTCTTGCAACAAGAGAGGACAGCAAGGATGCAGAGGCGGATATCTCGATCGTGCCTGGCTCTTTATGAGGAGATCCGGGTAATATTCTATGATCATATTATTTTTTTTTTTTTTTATTTTTTTTTTTTTTTTTTTTTTTTTAATTACATATATAGTGTAAATTTTAAAGAGATTTATTGTAATAAAAAACATAATAAGTTAGATCCCTTGTTGAATCTAGCATTAATAACATCTAAAAACTTATCTATGAAACTTTTAAACATATTGAATTATATTATTTGATGTTGAGACTAAATGCACCTTAAAATTATTATGCTATACAGAGACAAGCATACGTAAACTTGTAAATTTCTGATCAATGTGTGGTGCTAATGTATCATTCCGTTGTTCCAGACTGGTGGACAAAGAGTGCTATCCTTGGACCGGTAGGAATGATCAATGTAGATTACATAGGAGAACCGATCTAAAGACCGCTGGTTGCCGAAACTCACCAAACTCGTTGAGGACAGAATTATACAAGGTCGGACCGGCCTATCGTCTGGGTAACGAAACCGACATTATGCAGGAAATCCTGACCTCTGGACCTGTGCAAGGTAGCAATTAAAATTTAAACAGTCAAGTCTCTAAATAAGCATTTAAACTTATTATGTTGAACGTAAAAATATAATTTTGTATAGAAAATATTAATGAGGGGAAAAAGGCAATAAGAGTTAAACACGCGGGTACTACTACGCAAAAAACAATTCGTTATTCTCTTTGTATAATTTTAATAAGGCATTAATTAAAAAGTAACATCTGTCTTTTAGCTACTATGAGAGTCTATCAGGACTTTTTCGTTTACAAGAGTGGAGTGTATAAACATTCACAAAATGTGGAAAAGCACGATTTTGGTTATCATTCAGTCAGAATAATCGGTTGGGGCGAGGAACCATCTTATTACGGTGCATCGCTGAAATATTGGGTAAGTTTGCGCAATAGTTATGGTAACATTAGTACCGTATCTTAAAACAAAAAGAGATCCAAAAAGATTAAAGTGACACGAAATACAATTTTGAAATATATTGTATAATTATTGAATGATAATAATTATAATTTTCTAGATAAAATAAGAGTTTAAAAGTTGTCGCAAATTTTAGATTTTTTTGTAATTTTGATTAAATTGTAAGTAACGTAAACTTAATTCTTTTTTCAGCTGGTCGCGAATTCTTGGGGATACAACTGGGGAGAGAACGGACTTTTCAAGATTCAGAAGGGAACGAACGAATGCGAGATCGAGTCATACGTATTGGCGATATGGGCCAAGACATTGCCAAGCCAGTAAAAAATGAAAATACCAAAGTGTTAGAATATCCGATTGTCATAGCCATTGTTGGTGCATTTATTGAATCTCCGTCGTTGGCCTGTTGTTCTGCGCAATGATGCGATTGTCTCGGAGACGAAGATCTGTACTGGATACATGCTGTACTATACTGCACAAAGGTATGTGATTCAGTGCCTCTGTTTACTCCTTTATTACGTTGGATTGGCAGGATGAAAGGGGGGAAGGGGGGGGGGGGCAAAATTGGGGAATAAATTGGGGAATTTACAAATATTTAATGCAAGTACGAGCATAGTCAGAAAAGTATCGTTATTATTTTCTCATTATTTGTAGACAATAATAATCATTTTACATAGAAATGCGCGCTTTCTAAACGTGTTCAAATTCAATTATTCATATATTACACAAAAGTCATGTTTCACACATAATGTTATGTGTCGATGACTTTAACGTGTAAAAAGTACTAAGTGCCAAGCATCTGAAATAAATTTTGTAAGTACGTCATCATTCTTTTCCATTTTATTAAATATTTAAGGTAAGTAAAACGTTTTGTATTCTCAACATATTCTACTTAAAAATAAGTTAACATGCACATTTGATATGTGTGAGAATGTGTTCATATTGTTCCCGCAAAGTAAATGGCAGTGTAGTAGTGTATGGGAGTACTATAGCTGGTTTATAGCGTGATACTATTAATTATGCTAACAATAGTTTACAATTTGTAATACGTTGACATAATTTATAGAACGTCGATTTTGTACACGTTGAAATAGTGCAAGATAGACGATAGATAGATTAAAAATTTTTTTTTAACGATTGACGAAAATAAATATACATATATCAAATATGGTATATGTTATACACGCGGTATCAGGTACTCGAGGAATAATTGTGCACGTTGCATCACTAATTAGAAGGAGCTCCCTTACGATGATTTCACCATTAGACTACGACGCTTCGTCTGTTGCTCTTGCAATTTGGACTATACACCTCTAATTTATCCCGCGGTGTATTCATCGCGGAATAATCGATGGGGAATGGTATAGTGTTACCGCGGATTATGCAAGAATCTGTCATCCCTAGGAAATGCTCTCCCGGGCCGAATGGTCCGCGTCCGAACAGGAAATTTGCGAACACTAACTGATATTGTATCCAACCCAGAGGATGATCTCCATTCTGGAAGAAATTTTTTATCATCATCGAGTATTAGATTAATTTTTCAAAACAGGTAAGAATTGAGAAACTTATAAATTTATTAATTTTTAATTCAATTTCAGAAATTAAAAATAATTGTATTTTAAAATTATTAAATCTTTCTGCATTTCTATTTATTTATTTAAATTTTCACAGAAATTAATTAAAAATGTTAAGAGTAATAAATATGTAACTCTAACAAAAAAGTGCTCACAGAAAATAATATCTATTTTATGAAGTGGATTAACTTACCGAAGTCATCGAGTCATACGCGATGTCTAAGCACTTGTTTATTCTGTCGGTGTCCAAGCCGACCACGGTTCCGTAAAACGCAGCGAGTTCCTTCTTGCTGATCATTCCACTTCCAGAACTGTTTATCGCAAGAAAGAACACTCTAGGCATAACTTTGATCCAAAACGGCATGTCATTGTAACTGGCACCATCCGGCGGTGCAACAATCTGCGCCCACCAGGACAACCAGTCGTCAAGATCAACCTTTTTATCTGTTTCCATAGGTCCCTTCTTATCCTGCAGGATTAATCCGGCAAATCCATTTTCGATTTCCAGTAATCTCAAATATTCCGGACCGTTCCACGACCAATCCGCAAATCGCCTCAAACGCTTTTCGAATAAAAATAATTGTATTATTTATCTATCTAAAATTTTTAATTATTTATTTTTATGCTTTTCAGATTTATCAATAGATATCTACAATTTTTAGATACACATTAGGTTTTATGCATAATTTAGCACAATGTTGTGTAATTATTTTTGCATGATATAAATTTTTAAATATTTTTTTTTTATTTAGAAGCGCAGAAAAGAAAAATATAATGACTGAACAAGCTGAATTTTACATTACTTTTACTAAAATGATAGAAAAATCGAATTTTTCAAGATTTTACCTCCGAGAGAAATGAAAAATCCTTCCTACTGATGTAACCGTCTCTATCATGGTCTAAGAGATATGTAAAAAAGTGAGAGAATTTATCACGTTGTATAGATGCTAAGGCCTCTGAACTTCCAGCTTTGCCTAGCTCATTCATAGCGGACAAACTGTCGTCACTTGGGAATCGGCTCACCCACGTCGCTATTAAATTTAACAATAATAAATCACGATTAAATAATAATAATATTGTTATTCTTCCAGAATAATAAAAATTCGTTAATAATTATGATTCATTACTCATATATGAATCAATTAATCAATAATTTTAAATATGTATTATTCATTAATTTCAGCGAGTACACAACTCTCCATGCTATTAATGTGCAAACACGGACCTTGCGTCAATGGTCACAATTCCATATTGTTGGAAATAAACATACAAAATTTATTTTAATTCTGTATATATCGAAATTATATTGATTATCGTTTTTGCGTTTACTTAAACATTTCATAATTTAATACTTCTACAGGACATTATTTTGAAAACAAGTATGTTCCGAATAATTAATAATATAATAATTAATTTAATGCAGTTTCTAAATGAAAAAGTTCTCAATTACTCACTCCAGACGTGCACGCTCCAGCTGGGTTGTTCCAGTTCGGGGATGGCGACGGGCGCGACAGCAAGCTCGTCGATGTTGCTGCTGGTTGTTCTCCATCTCTTCAGCAGGTCTTTGGTACGATCGCGTGTTCGGTCGCACGCCTGCCGCCAATTAGTGATGAATTTGCGCGGCACTTTGAGTGCATTGCCGTCGTCCAAGCTGACTTCCTGGCTGCCAAGCGAGCTACGTTGACTCTTGTCGGCAGGTTCGCCACCGCTCGACGTGCCGTCATTCTCCGGATAGTAAATTGGATCCTTTATGCTGCCCGAACGACTCTCCATGATGGACTACCTAGCCAGTGTCATGCCTAAGCTGGCTTGACGCGGCTCGCGTATATTTCAGGGGGACTCTCCTGAAAATAATCAATTCCGCTGTCCGGAGAGGTCACCGGGTCGCTCGATATTGCGACCGCGCCGTTTTGTCGCCACGGAATCTTCACCGTGCAATCAGATGCAATGATAAATATGTCCTTTCCAGCTGGACTTGCTTCTATTTAACTCTTTTTCTTTTTTCTTTTCTCTTCAATATTCAAGTTAATTACACATATATATTATATTTATTTTATTTGGCGTACAGGAGACATCTAAAAAACGAAGTAGAATATGTTGTCAAAGATGCAGTAAATTCATAGGATTCACATAATGGATATCTAATGACTATATCATGAGAAGGCAATTGGTTATTTTCTATTTTTTTATTTGTCTTTTCTGTTTTATTTTTCTTGTTTACTTTTCTTTTCTATGTTTCAATGAAATATATGTAGATCAATGTTATTAAAAAATCTAAAAATAGTGTAATGATTTATTTTGTACGATATAGTAATAATGAAGAAAGAAGTATATAAATTATTTACTTATTGTATATATATTTTTATATGTTATATATATTATTTATTGTATATAAATAAATAGTACAAAACTAATTTAATAAAATATTAAAAATAAATTGCAGGAATTGAAGGATAAAAATGATCAAAGGAGAATAAAACAAAGAAAAAATAAAAATTGAAGGAATTATACACAATTATATTTAAACAAGTTTTGAAAATATTTGGAATTTGGAAGATAAAAAAACTTGTTGGAAAAATTTATAGTTCACAAATATAGTACTGTACTAATATCAACAGGCATTGAAACAGAAATTGTGAAAGGGAGCAGCATGCTTATACATTCCGACGTAATTTTGAACCTGACCTACATTCTGTATTGGTACAATTCCGTGCTTATATAATTATCTGCAAGAATTGTAAATAGCGTGCATGCCACATCTCACAGTTTTGCTTCGGATATCGACGGATGTTGATGTGCGCGAATCTTGCCATGCATTTCAGAGGTCTCTGAGAGTAACATGGGAGAACACGTGGGAACTAGCAATGTGTATTCATTTCATACTCTGCTTGGTTCAGGTTAGTTTTCTTTGGAAGTGATGTAATGGTGATGTAATTTATTTTAACTTTAAATTAGGAAATAAATTTGCTATTATGTATGTCGAAAAACTTTTGAAAACGATACGAGATTGAAGGCACGTTAAAAACATAAATAAAAAGAAATAAATTTGCTGTTGTGTGTCAAAAAATCTTTGAAATTAAATCTAGGTTAAAGGTACGCTAAAACTTGTATACATATAAACAAATTTGCTATGTTGATTGTATTACACACTGAAACCATAAAATGGCAAAATTGTTAACATCAGAAGTTTACATTTTTTATAAAGAAAAAAGAATTTACAGTATTAATGCGAGAATGTTTAACTACCAGTATGATATTAAATTATAGAATGTAACTAATACTTTACATCTATCACATTATACTTATTTTCATTTAAAGATTTATTTCTCTTACGCCAGGTTTTTTTTAAGTGACAATGGCAGTTCAGAACGAAAGCACAGATGAAGGAAAAAGAGATGAAAATTATGCCGATAAGAAAGTAGCAGCAGATAATTCAATCAACAGTGATTTATGGGGATCTGATATGTATCCTGAAAGAAGAGGAGCAAAGTTTAAGCCTAGCTGGTTTAAAACATTGATTGGTGCTGCAGGACGAGAATCAGTAGATAAAGCTAGATGTGAAGAGAATGTTTATAGATGCGTAAAAGATAGTAAGGTGTCTCTTATTTAAACATAAAAATGAAAAAAGTAAACATGCAAATTTTTTATTTCTTTTTTAAAAATAAAACTTAGCTTGTTTTATTTTTTTTAATATTTTGAATTTATAAAATAAGTTTCTTTTAAAGTCAACTAAGTTTTTATATTTGGTATCTTATTAAATATTTATATAAACATAAAAAATTTGTACGATTACTTTTTAATCAAGTCTATTTGCTTAATTTATTTTTTAATATATGTCCAAAATATTTAAGAAATTGTATATTTTATATCAGAAATAGAAGTTTTAATAATAGAAAGAAGTCAAAAGCAATAATTCTTTAATTGTACTCTATTTGGGAATTTTGAATTAAATAAAAAAAAGATGACGTCGAATTAAACTTTTTAACACTACTTCTTTTTTTATTTGACATTTACATATTTACATATTTATTTCATTCATTTATTCATTTACATATTTCAATATTTTTTAGGTCCCATTGTAAAACTCATGTTGGGAGCTCTAAAAAGTTCTGGATGGTTTGTAGTTTATTGATTTTTACTGTATATCAATATATAATTATTTATCAATATTTACTTATTTAATTTATTTATTTTAGACGATCATCATTAATAATTGATGTTTCAGTGAAGTTGATATACGGCGTCACATCTCCTGTGAAATATGCGATCCGATAGTAACTGGTGGATATGATTCTGAGTTAAATCAGGTGAATATATTTATTTGTGAATTACTGATTAAAACTTATTTTATATTAAATATTATGCATTTTATTTATGTTTAACAGTATGCTTTTCTAAATAAAATTTAGAAGTTTATTATATATTATGTAATATTATATGTATTATAAATAATGTATATTATATGTATTATAAAAAAATAAATATTTATTATAAATAATAAAATTGATTTTTTTTACAGATAATTGTTTGTCAAAATTCGGCATCTGCTAAACGTGAAGTTCAGGGTATTCTCCTACATGAAATGATTCATATGTTTGACTACTGTCGTAATAAATTAAATGTAAAAAATATTGATCATTTAGCCTGTACAGAAATCAGAGCTGCAAATATTGGTCATTGTAGTTTTTTGAGCTCAGTGTTTCAAGGCAATTCATCCTTCAGTAATATAAAAGCAACACATCAGGTAAAATATTTTGAGAAAAAGAGAAAGAGAATGTGAGAAAGTTTATTAGAGTAACGATACATTTGCTTTTATATACGCATGTTTTTAATTTGTTAGAATATTAATGTATTATATTAATGCATAATGTTCTTTATATCTAGAACTGTGTAAAACACAAGGCTAAAATGTCAGTAATGGCTGTACATAAAGTATCAGCAGAAGTAGCAGAAGCAGCCATAGACAGAGTATTCACAAAGTGTTATAACGATTTAGAACCAGTTGGTAGAAGAATTCGTAGAAATTCAGCAGATATGCCGAGAGCATACGCAGAAGCATATTTGTATGGATATATGTAAATGTACAAAGAAAAAAGAATGAAGAAAATTGTACATTGACTCAATTAGATTGTTGTAAGTACACATATATATATTATCTCTCTGTTTGCAAAATTGTATACATTTACTAATATATCGTATACATTGAAAAACCTTACTATATTCACATTATCCACATTCAACAATAGATTTCGATTAAATTTCGATAAATAAGTAGATTTGCTATGTATAATTGTCACATTACATTGTTTTCTTAACAATGTAAGTACATAAAAAACCTTTGGAATATATAGGATAATTTTATTAATCTCCATATCGAGTTTCATTAGTAATCAAGTGAATAACTCAATGGAAATTTGCTATGATATGATATATAAACTTTATTAAGTTAAATATTTGATAGAAATTGAAAATATTTTTTCTTTATTAATATTATAAAAATTAATAAAAACTAAGGTTGCTTATAGAAATATTTTTATGTATGTACATCTAGTAGTTTTACAAAGCCAATATGATAGATATATTTTGCTGGTCAAAAATTGTCAAAAATCATATGCGTACGCTGCATATTGATTTTTATATTTTTATCATATGAGAAACCTTAGAAATCTGCTATTAACAGGTGATACGGTTAGTCTGTGAGATATCTTGTATATTTTATATTATTTTTATAAATCTATTCTCTTAATGAATTGGATTGACTTACCGGCACGATGCGCAACAGCGGAATTGTTTAGACTAACCGAATATCACGCGGGTTAAAATAATAATAGTGACGAATAGACAGAAAACTAAATAAATCAGATAGTTACACTTTTCTTTTCATTTCTTTAAGAGTCTATAAACAAAAGGAAGGGAAAAGGGTTGAATCGCGCTAATGTACACTTTATCTCAAAATTGACGAAAGATGAATACATAATACATTTCTTGCAAACTTCATAAAAGTAAATTTTTATTTGCTTTTAAAACAGAAAGATAGTTTTTATAAGCTATAAGCTATTTGTAAGTAAATAAGGAAGTTTATAAATGAAAGCTGTTTGCTAAAGTTTTAAAAAGACATAAATAAATATTCGAATTATTCTTTCTTGTTTACAATATCAGAAATAAATCTTGGCGGAATTATAATCTGAATTATTTATGTATCAAATGTTGAACTTTGGAACGTTATGAAAAATTGATTGTGACATTTTCGTTGGGGGGAAAAAATTGATAAATTTCGCAAGAAATAATGCTATGTGTGAACTTTTTGTCTATTCCGAGACATTCTATATGCTATTATATCACCATAAAAAAATAGCGAACATCTTTTTCTAAGCTATTATTTTTTACGATAAATCCATGTGAGATACAATGATTTTCAAACTTTGCTATATGTGTTGTATATAATCTGTTGTTGTGCTGTAGTTTCTTGGATTTAACGGGGGGAAATTGAACAATCTTAGACTCGATACTAAAATTAATAGCCTCGATTAAAATTTGCGCCCGGTCGAGAAGTATCGAAGCGCGGATTTCCGTCATAAGACACCTGCGCACTGAAGCCGTGCTGCCAGTCCGCGGTATAACGCACGATTTGCGTTCTACCATCCGGAAGTTGCACCCTGTATTCACCCTGGACAATCTCTCCATCACTGATAGCATTATGGGAATAATCGTTGCCGAAAGCATCCTCCTTTACGGCATAATTAAAGTCAAAAGGCATGCCAGGTTCATGATGGTGATGGTCGTGCTAAAGTAAATCCATTAATTAAAAAGATATAAGTAAAGATACAGTATAGTACGCTAATATGTTCAAGTTTTGTTTAGTCAAATTAGAGAGAGGGTATTTTCACGGATATTTTTTTATGCAGAACTAGTTTCTTTAAAGTATTAATAATACACATGTAAATTACTTGAAAACTGACCGCTAATGTTAATAACGCAGGTATATATTACTTAAAAAAAAAGTATATTTACTTATCGATTTTCGCGAAATTTATAAGTTTTTGGAATTGCTGAATTCACATCTGTGGTCAATATTTTTGAATTTAATATGGCAGATCTAATATAAGAAATGCAAATTAAAACAATTATTTTATTTTTATTACATTTTTGTTCTATGAATTTTTATGATTTTTGACTGATAAATTTTTATGAATTTGACATAAAAACTTTAAATTTAGGAGATAATTATTTTTATAAAATATGGAATAAAATTTGTGGTTTATTCAAATATTAATTTACATATTATATTTAAATTGAGCACAAACAACAATATTTAATCATATTTGATCGTAAGCTTTTATTTACTATTTTTTAATTACAAAATTGACATTTTAACTTGTATGTTACAAATTGCCAAAACCCTTTGAAAAATAACTTTTATGTAAAATTTATTTAAAAAATTTTTAATTGCTACATTGTGTTCGCAATCTTCGGAAATCTACAATTTTAACTACAGGTGAATTCCGCATCCCAAAAAATGCCGAATATATAATCTTTATGCAAGTTTTATTGTTTCCTTACAGAAATCATTTTGGATATTAAGTTGTTTTTTATTTCTTAATATTTGGAGAATTTTGAGTTTAGCTCATATTTAATTAATTCAAGATTTATACGTGTACTTACACCGGGGCCGATAGCATTTCCGTTAGGACCACTCGGTTGACCGGTATAATCCGGAAATCCTGGTATAGGACTCGGCCTGGTGGGATATCCTGTGCTTGGTGGTGTTCCTGGGGTTCTCGTAGGTCCTGGATAGGTAGGCGTTGGTCTGGATCCAGGGAAGGTCGGCGACGGACGCGTAGGAAACGTCGGCGTGGGCTTCGGGAATGTTACCGTCGGTTTGTTGTACGTATAACCACCTTTTGTTGGCTCGGGTGGCAGATATGTGTTGCGCCTCGTGCCCGGTGGTAGGTCACCAATAACACTAACCACCGTCACGCAAAATACGACCAACTGCGCAAGAGAAATCAAATTTATTGATATGCGTGATTGGCGAAATCATAGAATGTTTGCAAACACTCGATTGATTTAGATTTCAAATTAATTCTCTTCAATTCTAAATTAAAATACGTCGATATCAATGAAACAAGGGATTATCAGTAAACTGTACTATTAAATTGAAAGAACTGCATTTCGCAAGACGTACACGATTATGTACATGATTCATATTATTACTGAGCAATCTTTCATAATGTAAAAAAAGAAAGAAAAAAAGGAATGAGGAAAGAAAAAGAGCCCGGTAGTTGCCTTAATCAAGCATTATTGCATCGACTTTTTATTATGAAGTCTCGGATTGTGAATAAATGAGTCACATATTCTTTATTATGGTTGTTAAAAAGCGGGAGGCAGAAATGTTTCTTACATGCTACACGCTAGAGTATGTAGTTACTTTCATTAGTTTGAAGGACTTGGAGGAAGCAGAGATGACTTGCTGTATCACGTAAGAGAAAGTCGTGTGAATTCTTTGTATTATATGTATTTATCTTATAAAAAATAGGAGATCTGATAAAACTAATTGAAATGGACATTACATTCTTATTTTTTATTTTTTCTTCCGAAATAAAAGACTTTGATTTTTATCTACACAGTGTGGAGTATTGCGTTAACAGCAAAATTATAACAATTATCATACTAGTTAACTTATTATTTTGATTAAAGTGTTAAATAGAGAAGCTTGCTCGTTTTGAAATAATAAATCTTACATTTTTAAGATAAATAGAAAATGAAACTGTGAAATGATGCAATGGCATATAAAATACAAAATAAATAAACGTAAATATAATGTTATGCCTTCATGAGGCCAAATGAGAGTTTAAGCGTTACAAACATCGTTATTAGTCATTTCATGACACGTGGATACAAAGTTATCGCGGCAATGCTATCATATAAGTGTGCAGCGAAGATATGTTTCTATAACCAGAACACATATGCCAACACAGCCAATATTTCAAGAAATTGTTCAGGTTCTGCTATACAATGAGAACGCAATAAGTCGCAATGATGTTGTAAACTGGTTGGATGTGTGCAATCTAACATGCATTATAGATTGCATACGTCTGCGACTCTAATTATTATGTACATTATTGCAGAATTATGATTTTCTCCGTTCGATTTTATTGCGTTATTTATTTCAATTTATCATACCTTAATGCGCAAAGCGCGTTGTCTATACTCATATATCTTATTATATAATATTTTCATAGGCAGAATAATATATTCCTACTTTTCTTTTTCATCGTAAAGAGAAAAATATCTAAATTTAACGAAATGCAAGTTTGCGCGACGCGTTAATATGACCGGATACATGAGTTTCCGTCGAACCTCGATTTACCACATAATGTGGTGTATGCGTTTATAATAGCGGAATCTTTTGTTTTAATTATTCCTGCGTTCACGTAATAGATGCTTTTTAACTTTCAGATCCGATGTAGAATATTGCCACAATCACAATAATCTTATACTTATTCTCATATGTGAACTGACATTTGTGTCGCGTAGCTTATCACTTACAAATATGATCCGCGCAGCGAGTCGTGTTATGAGCGTGTAATTTTAATAAATCAAACGTCTCTGTCGGAGCCGTGTTTGATATTTAGTACATCAAGATGTCAGAGGAATATTTTTCTATAGCGTCACATACCTCGCGAGCTGTGACTTTTGATGAGATTGATGGGAATAATTATAGTCTGATGAAACGTGGATTGGATAAAATAATTCTAATATATTGTGCATCTATCGTTTTTAACGCCTTCTCATCAATATTATTACATTACTTGTTTATGTACAACAAATTATGGAAATTGAAATAGAGAGTTAAATGTGATTTTTTTGCAATAATCTTACGAATGGATATAATTATTATTAAGTTTATTATTTTGAAAAGATTACGATATTATATTTAATATTTATATCACATCCGATCGATATAATATTCAATTCTGTGTGAGAATTGTTATAATAAAATACTGTTTTTAATTTCAATTGGGAGTATAAACTCTTGATTGTAAAGAATGTTTTGTCAGCACTATTAGATTTTATGAATGCTATTGTTTGATATATTAAAATTTTACAGTAAGCACTTAATCATATAGAAGAGAATTAAATATCAATAAATGTTATCCCATAGATTTATCACATCAATATTATAGATTTATTAATCTTTTATCAATTGCGTCGTGACTGTGATAACATAATGATCTAAGTCAAAGTAAATTATAAAATACAAGTAACAAAGACAGTTAATGACAGGAAAAATAACAACAAAATTTTATTGGAAATAATTATTAATTTGCGTTTTGATAGAATTCATTAATGACATGCCGATTATCTAACTCGGATTATATACGCTGAAAAAATCACACGTTTTATTACAAATTACAATATTTCATCATTTAAAAGACGTGTATAATAAGCTATGAAACAGCAGGACAACAAGTTTAATGTTAATGTCAAGTTATTAATATTATTTTATTCCTCGTATGTTACTCCTCCAATATATATTTTCTCATTATTTTTATACATTATAACTGAATATTGCAAGTCTTAATAAAATACGACGCGGATTTTCGATGTCAGGTCACGATTTGAAAAATAGTAGAAATAACGATAAAGTGTACGTGCGCAATGTCGAGAATTGATGTTAATTGAATCTAAAAGATATATACGCGCGATTTTGCAGATGGACAAACGCTGTAGAACTTTTATTCGGGATCTTTTTCTTGGCATAATGACAGCCTGCGGTCAATATGCGATTGCCGCCGCTATTAGTTCTGCCTGGTGACGTGAAAGAGGAGCAAACCGAATCAATAATGTTGAAGATATTATATTGGCCAATGCGTTCGGAGAAACAGCCAGCGATGCTGTGCTCTATTGCGACAGGTAAGACCTTTGTATTATGCTCTTAACCCTGTACTTCGATTGCAACGCTCTTGCGACGCAACCTGCGCGAGAGAGTAAGCTTTAAATATAAAATATAAACACGTATAAAGGCGCGAGAAAGAGAGAGAGTGAGTGGGAGGGGGGGGGAGGAAAGGAGTGAGGGAGAGAACATGCGGAGATTGCTAGAAGCAGCTAGACTCTGCCGAGATGTCGCAATTTCGTTCTAGTAGTTGATCGACATGTGGAAAAGCGTGAGAAGTTATGCACTTTGAGATGCGACTGGCAAACGCGGTTGCGAACTCTTTATTTCATTAGTGTCTTATTAATGTCGATGCGTATGCGTATGTACGTGTGCAATTTGCGAAACAATATCATCGCGCGCATTCTTAAGAATTTATTCGGAATTGATTTAACGCGTCGCGTGGGCGCACACTGACGTTTATATTATGTCTCGTGATGATATCATTGCGACTATTGTAATGGGTTTTCTTCATATTTAAGAGGAGTAATAATGAGACACGCTAATGGTAATGATAGTTGCATTGAATTCGCGGAATTAAATTCTTTTGGAACGAGCCTACATTTATCTGAAGAAAAATCTGCACTTTTTAAATCAGTTGTTTCTCTATGACAATAGACAACTTGAGTAATTTTTAGAAATTTTATTCGTAAATCTATCCGTAAGAAAGTTGTTTGTTATTCATCAAATATCAATTTTACACCTTGCAAAATGATGACCGACAGTTAGTTGTCTCTGCATCTTAAACGATGTGTATTTAATAGTGGATACGGCGATCATCGATTTGCCACGGATAAAAGAGCGTGCAATTAATCAAGCGAGATGAATCATAAGCGATCAGCAGTCGTAATTTATTTATAACAAAACTATTTTGTAAATATGTGGAGATTTTCAAAATTTAGCCGTAGCAGAGTTTTACAAATAATGTAAAGATTGTGCGGGACAAAGAGAAAGAGTAATCTCGAACAATCAGCTATAGATAATGGTACGGCTTTCACGAATCTCCTCGACGGATATTTATATTTTTGTCACTTTATTTTGTTCACCAAAGTGAATTAATAATGATAATCAATCTTTATTTTTATCGCAATAAATTATAAACTGTAATAATAAGAGATGAGATATCGACTATAAACATTAAAGCGTGAAACAACGGCCATATCCGTTTTAATAACTCATTATTTGATTTGTCAATTGGCTGTTGTTTTTTTTTACTTTACTAATTCCTACTTTACTAAATATGTCATTTTTAAATTTTATTTCCGTTAATTGCATGTGTGTGTAAATGCTGACGAAACACGTTGGCGAAACATGTCTTGATACAATGCTTATCTGAATGACGATTTATCCAGCGAATAATATACGTAGGATTAATAATATTCATGGGTCTTCACAATAATATATGTTTATGCACATATTTACACAAATTAAAAAAATCAGACATAAGACTAGGGATTAATCTTATACATACCTGTAGAGAATACATCTTCCAGACACGATAAGTGACACAAATCAACGTGCTGGACCACGCCAATTACGTGTACCCGCTAGCGGAAATAACGCACACTGCAAAAGTTTCAAGTTAACACTTTATCAGAGAAGAAAATACGATGGTGTTTTACACTTATATTTTATATAACATTTTATGTAAGACTAATACATGTATTTTATGATCATAAGTGAATGAAATATGTGAACATAGAAAGAAAAAGATGTTATATGCCGAAAGTAGCTATTTTTGCATGTATAATATATTCTGTAAAGAACACGCATGATAATGTATTATGATAATATCTCACAATACATTATTCCATCAAACAAAATTTAAAAAAATTAAATTATAAATGTTTTATATATAAAATTTTTGTTTTTGCAGCGTGGTTTGTTTTATATAATGCTGCTAATTTTTTATTATTCATAGAATATTTATAAATTCTTTTAATTTATATATTTATATTTATCTAGAAATTTATTTAACTTTATTTTCTTAAAATTATCGTATTTTCTTATCTTGATTTACGAGGTAGTCCAGAAAGTAAAATTACAAATACAATATAAATTGAAAAAAAATATTTTGTTTGTATAAAAGTACTTTTAATAAGGTAAATGGTTTCAGTGGCTGCATAATTAAAAATTAATCATTATTGAAAATATAATTTTGTCTATCAATATAACATTTTTCTCACCTTTTCGTGTACATAATAAAGATCAAAATTTACTTAACAAAAATAAAATAACGATTATTAATTGATAGTTAATTAAATATTTGCGAAAGATGTCGGATATGTGCATATTTATTAGTTTGGACATAAAAATGTTGTAGAATACACGCAAAAGATACTTTATAAATGAGAAGTTGAGAAATTTGTTTCTAAAACTTATAAAAATACTTCTTTCTAGTATAATATAATATCACTTGCTTTTTGGTAAAATTGTTAAGAATCTCAATTTATTAACATTTTTATAATATTATTTCTGGGTTTTATATTCATGTAAAAAAAAATAAAATTAAATATCAATTAATAACTATTTTGTTAATATATGATCGGCGACTAAACATGTTCGGCCACTGGGACATTTACCTTTTCTACTCTCTTGCTGACCACACACAAAAAATAAAAAAATTCTGTATAAATTGATGATGTAGATCTCAAAGATCGATGACGATGCACTACTGAAACACGATAAAATATTACCAGGGTCTTGCTCGGTGCTTATGTTAATTCAACATGGTCTTACGATTGGATTATGTTAGCACATAAAATTTTTCACGTGTGCATGTACATATATATATATATTATATATATATATTATATATTATATATATATATATATATATATATATATATATATTATATATATATATATATATATATA